GCGCGCGCGTGGTGCGGGTGCCATGCGCTGCGCTGTCCCGCCCTGGGCAGCAGACCGGAAGATTAGGGATGAGGTCGCCTGCTGGTGGTCCTCCTGGTGGTCCTGCAGGCCTGTAAGTCCCTGCCTGTTGCTTGGTGCCTTGGGCTGACTTTCTGGGTCTGCCATTCCCCGCCCGCCCACCTCGTCTTGCCTTGCCTGTCCAAGGTCGTCACCACATGTACTCCCTGGTCGAGTACAAGGTCGCTCTACCTAGGTAACTTCACCTCAATCTAACACGATCTCCTCCCGTCAAGGGCAGACCCCCTACGTGCCCCTGGTGCCGCCCTGCCGCCACCCCAGCGCCTACCGCAGCACAGCGCACCCCCAACGCACCCCAGTGCACCCCAGCGCTCTAGTTGGTCCCCCCCTTCCCCCCCCCCAGCGTGCACCTTACCACCGCGCGACTTACACCCACGTCCCTCACAGACCACAGACCAAAGTCGCACACACTTGGTCTGTGATACATCAGCTTCTCACCCCCCCGTTTGCCCGTTGCGCTCCGTCCACCTCACCTCCTGACTTTCCACCCTCTGCTCCTTGTTTTTCCCTGTTTGAGGTTCTTTCAAACGACTGAGGGTCTCCTTTACAGGGAAAGGCGCATCGTACCTTGATCTGGGGGAACACGTTTGGCAGTCTTCTGTCTCACTCTATCCGTACCCTTCCCTCACCCTTCTTCCCTACCCTTCCTCCTAGCCCGCCCTTCCGAAGCTTCGTCCAGGTCCGACTCTGTCTTAACCTCGACGACTCCCCCATCGATCCTCTTCTTGAAACGACCCGAGAGCCTGCTCTTCCAACCCAACCACCACACTCATTACAACAAACCCGAAACTTCACCAACCTTTTGGACGCCTTGCCGACCCTTAGTCTTTCTTTGAAATAGGATTCGACACGAGCAACCAGCTACGCAGCTTGAGACTACCTTCACTGTCTTGTGTTTTTTTTCCACGCTCGTTGCCCCATCGTGTATCGAGGCATCCTGCTTCAACCACACCCAACCCCGACTCTGCCCGGACCACCCACCTTAGGGCCACAAGCCGTCACCATGAACTACTTTCCAAACTATCCCGTCTACCAGTACAGCTCCTACAACAATGGACAATATCCTTCGAACACCGCCCTGCAGTACCAGGCCAACGCTGAAGCTTGGAGACGCCATGCCATGATCCAGCACGGCGCAAGGACCACCGAGACGAAACCCAGGCTAGCCAAGGATGAAGTTGACAAGCTGGAGCGCGAGTTCCAGAGGAACCACAAGCCCAACAGCAGCTTGAAGAAGCAGCTTGCTGAGGAGATGCGGGTGGATATTGCGAGAATCAACGTACTGACCCCCCCTCAACCCAAATCACGCCCCGCCGGCCTGGACATCTCGCTGACACGTTTGCAGAACTGGTTTCAAAACCGACGAGCCAAGGCCAAGCAGGAGAAACGCACCCAAGAGAACGAGGCTCGCCGACAGTCGGAGCAAGCAGCGGATCAACCAAAGCAGGACGTGGTGAAGGAGTACTATCCTGACGACGACCATCACGATGACCTTCGTCCATCAGCCGCCCCTTTCCCTTCCATGGACTCGTCTGCGAGCCCTGAACCTACCGAGACCGCAGACATGCCCCTGGAAGGACTCGGCGAGTCGAATATCGAACTGGACACAGACAGCACATCGCCTACGTCTTCCACTTTCCAAGCACCTGAGCAGAACTTCAACGACTTTTCATCAACGGACGGCATGTTCTACCCCTCACAGTCGCCTTGCGACCTTTCTTCTATCTCATCAGTCGAGTTGCCCGAGCAGCAAGGGCCTGGGCCCCTCACCCTCTCCATCCCAACTCACTACGCCTCCACAGCCCCAGAATCATCGACGGGCTCCTCATACACCGGTTTCCAAAGCATGTCGAGCGGCATCGACATGGATGATTCCATGAGTGCCTTTGCCTCACGATACGGCTCGGTGAACCTAGACGAGGCTCAGGCTCGTAGTGCGGATGCTATGAAGTACGAGCACCTGTCACCAGATTCTGCACAGTCACCCATGTCGGGTATTCCCAGCCTTCACTTCAAATCCCCGCCTGTGGACATTGCCAGTCGGCGCAACACGAAGCGGCCCGCTCAGCTCGGAACTGGATGCATGCGAAGCTTCTCATACAACCAAGCTGGCATGAAGACCGGCATGGAGATGCCGCGTCGCTCGGAGCTTCCGAGCCCCATGCGTCGTGTTGCCTCTGCTACGGGTAGCCTTCCTCGAGGAATTCAGAAGCCCGTGAGCGCGACGCCGCGGTCTCCCATGTACTTCGACCGCAACCAAGAGAACCTACTGCTTCAGATGGCGGCGCGTACCCCAGTGGCAACCGGGCCGCACTGCTCAGCGGCGCCGCCGACACCCAACACGCCAGTCATTATTGACACGCAAGCCACCAGGGAGCACACCGCGTCATCCTCCGCTTCTGAGGAGGACAAGCGGTATACATTCCAGGGCGGGCTTCCCTCTGCGCAGTTCCACATGGATCCCACCATGCGCACGCCGCCTGACACACCCGGCCTCATGAGCAACTTCTCTGGCGTCATGTTTCCTAACACACACTTACAAACCAACTTTGATTACAGCGGCCTTTCTGATGAGCCTCTGGTCACCCCGGGCCTTGGTGGATTTGAAGCAGAGTTCCCAGTCATGCCCGCTAGCCTCCCAAGCTATGTCGCTCCAGGCTGTGGGAGCCAGCCCTCAACGCCGTCATACCCACCCGCCAACATGGGTCCGGCTTTCTTTCCATCGTACCAAGGGGGCAATGCCGAGTATAACTGGTGTGATGCTTCCTTGAAAGCGTCTCACGACCAGTCCCGATCCAGGAACTTTCAGTTCACCAACATGACGGCGCAAGATTTCCATGCCGAGTAGACCGCACCTGAACCATTCAGCGGTACCAGTACATACGCTGCAGTTACTCCATGGGGCATTTTTGATCACGTCTCATTTCTCAGCGAGCAATATATCTCCACAAGAGTTCCCTAGTCGGGGACCATGTACAACATTCCTTGCCATTTTATTTTGTGCGCACACAACACGACATCGGAGCCTCGACGCCATTTTCCTTCACTTTTTTTTCTCCTCTCGACACCGGACAGGCATGGAGCCAAGACCCTGGACCGGCTTTTGCACGCAAGTGCCCAGCAACAATTACTTCCAACTAAACTCACGCAATCATACACACCGCATCCACGAGCGAGATTCTTTAACTAATACGTAATGACCACATCTCTGAACGAAGGGGCCAACGGCGCTTATCAGGGGCAAAAGAGGTGGGCGGAGGATGGAAAATACCCGGCAAGTTATGGGAGGTACATACGAGTACGAGGGCCATTCGATGACTAGTAGACAAGGATAGGTGGGCGGGCAAGGGAAGAAGGACCAAGCGGCCACGAAGGTCGTGGTTGGGCGGTGATGCAATGCGGTTGATATACGGCCTGGGAGCAGACGAGGCATTCAATACATCTTCTCTGAATGAGACCGCTCACGATCATACGTGCGTTTGACGAAGGGGTAGCCGGAGACACAAGTGACCTGTTGACCATCCTAGGGCTCTCTGAGTAAGCCCGATCCGGCGATCAGTACAGTGTCCCAACATGAGATCTGTCGGCGACAAACACATGCACCGGCACACACGGCCCGGCACTGCCACCACTCCACGACGGCCGGGTCTAGCCGTATGCAGGCGGAGATGCCGGATCGGAATCGGCAGAGGCGTTCTCTCCTGCTCTCCCACTACTGTTACCACTAGAGGAACCCATTCTCGCCTTACCTCACGCAGTCGTCCCGCTCAATTCAACCTGGGCCGAGCTGCTGCGTCGTCGACACGGTAGTCTAACCGGCCGTACTCGTACTGGTCGTGGTGGGCGGCGGCGAGTGACTAGAGAGGAGCAGGAAGTAGCGAAGGGGGGGAGAAGGGTGGTGGCGACTCTGTGGTGATGGTGGTGCCCCCTCCCGATTGAAGGATGGCCGCCCCCAAAGCCACAGGTGCGCGGGCCGGGCCTTTCCCCCGTTCCCCCCGTGCCCCCTCCATTCCTGTCCTCTTGTCGAAGAAGGAGGGGGGCGGGGGGCGAGAATGCGGTTCGGGTGAGGCAGTTTTCGCCACACCTTATTCTCACGCAGGCTCAGTCGTGGGTGGGTGTGCGGGGGGCCGGGCTTGGCGATTCTGTACATTCCTGTGTGCAGAACAATGACTGGGGTTGACGAGTTTATTCTCATCACCCATGTCCGCATTGTTCGCGTGTCCGAGCGATGTTGAAGCGCGGGGCGATACGGTTGATTTTCTCTTACAGAAGGGAAAAGTAAAACCAGGAGAGACACATGGTTGTCATTACATTTGTATACATGCGTGTTACTACTTTGGTATCTCGCCCGCAACCCAAAAAAAAAAAAGCCCATCCACATCCACATCCTCTCTTTAAAGGCTGCCTCGTGTCGACAAGGCCTCCTGGAAAATAGATCGCCCATCGCACATGCCGTGGCGGAAAGAAATGGCAGATCTCGTTCTGCAAAAGAAAAATAAAAGACACAGAGAAAGAGAAAGAGAAGGAAGGGAAGAGAGGATGTGAAGCACATTAGTAGGCAAGAAAACTCCGTAACGCGTCGCTGATGCAATTTTTGCTTGGTGTAGTAAGTGTTGGAAAAAGGTTCTATGTTCGAGGCGAAAGAGGTGTCGGTGTCATGGCGGAGGAGGGGTAGATATGGAAGGAGTTGGAGACGCCGGTGCGCAGGGAGACGACGTAGGTCCCCAGAGCTGACGGACGACAAAGTCCGGCTCAGCGGCCGGCGTGCAAGGCGCCGAGGTGACGACGGGCGAGGCCGACGTCCTCTCCCACCGGGGGACGAGGGAGGCACCGCCCGTCCCGCTCGCTGTGGAACTGCTCCGCCCGCGCCGCGCGGCCAGGATCATGTCCGCCGAGGGCGTCGCCAAGGAGGGCTTGTGCGCCTAGTAGAAGCCGTCACCCGTGTTGGCCCTCGAAACGCTGGACGCGGGCGTCGCTACGCTTCCGTCGCTCGGTGTCGCCGGCTCGACGACCTGGTTGCGGATGGTCATTATCCACTCGTGCTGGAGCAGCTCGACAGCCGACATGCGCTTCTTCGGATCCTGCAGGAAGCAGCCCTTGAGGAAATCAATGCCTTGCGGGCTGAGCTGGTCGGTGCCAGGCAGCTGAGGGGGGTTGCCCTGCGCAATGTTGTACATGATGGCCCACTCGTTGTCGAGGTTGGCCCAGGGGCGCCGGCCGGTGGCCATCTCGAGGATGACACAGCCGAGGGACCAGACGTCCACGGCTCCAGCGCGGCCAGGGTTTTCACCCTTGATGACCTCGGGAGACATGTACATGGGCGTGCCGGTCATGGACTTGTTGGGCTTCGCCTCGTCCATGGCTTGAATGAGTGTTTTGCCCTGTCGCGCGATGACCTTGGCGGCGCCAAAATCGACGTACTTGATGATGCCGTTGTGGTCAAGGAGGATGTCTGCGTGATTGCGTTAGGATTCAGGTGAGGAAGACGGCCGGGGGAAGGAATGACAACTCACTTTCCGGTTTGATGTCACGATGAGCAATGCCGCTTTCGTGGAGATACGCAAGTCCCTCTAGGAGTTGCAGCGTGTAGACCATGATGACCTGCTCGTCCTCGATGCGGCCGTGTTCCAAAAGGTTCGCGAGGGAGCCTCCGTCGCAGAACTCCATGAAGATGTAGACGCGATCGCGGTGGACTTCGATGCCGTAGTAGGATACTACGTTGGGGTGGTCCAGCACTTCCAGAACACCCATCTCGTCCTTGATCTGCTCGGCAACGGTTGGGATAAGCTTCGGATCTTGCAGCCTGATCTCCTTGACAGCCATGAGGTGGCCCGAGTCCAGGTTCATGGCTGCGTAGACGTTTCCGAAAGTACCTCCGCCCACAAAGTGCCCCTGCTGCCAGCGCATTGTGACATTTGTCGCCGAAGAAGACAGGTAGGCCAACGACCGATCGACCTCATTGTTGGCCTCCAGGACGCGTCCCAGCGCCTGGCGTTCGGCCTCCCTCGTGCGCCTCGTCTCGTCCACGTGCTCGAGCTTTTCGACGCGCTGCTCCGTGATGTACTGCGAAGCCTTATCGTCGTCCAGCATGCTGTTCTTGTCGAGACGCCTGTACTGGCCGAAGAGAAGTTCGACGCGCTCCTTTTCGGCCTGTGCTGCGAGGTTGGACCGCGCCCCCATGATGTCAAAGTGCGAGATGAGCAGGGACATGCAGCCAGCCACCTTGGACCGCAGCTTCGCATACTCGTCTTCGCCCAGCGCGAGAATGGAGCGGCCCCTGGTCATGCTCATGGCGAATTCCAGGGCAAGCACGGCCCAGCGGAACGTCTTGCGGTCGGACGCGATGCAGTCGTCGCAGATGAACGACACCCAGTCCAGCGCGAGCTTGGTCAGCTTGAGGTTGTTCATCTGTTTCCTGTTGCTGTCCATGTAGAGAAGGGACCGCTGACCAAACTCGGTCGCGAAGATGAAGCATGTCTGGATGAGCTCCTGGCAGTCCTTGCCCACTGTCTGCTTGCGAATCGTCTCCACGCTGTCCATGAAGTTGTTGGACAGCTTGTAGGCGACGCGGCGAATCTCCATCAATCTCGTGTTGACTTTGTGAAGATTGGACCGCGACTCGACGACGAGATCGACATGCATGTCAACAGACTCGAGGAACGCTCTCCGCGCACTGGCCAGACGTGCCTCTGTGCCAGCAGCGACGAGGCGCACATGGCCCTTTTTGAGGTCAATGTTCCGCTCCCGGACAGCCAAGGGAACGACATCACCGAACCAGTGAGGCGGGTCTTCCGGTCGGAGAATCAGCAGATACGGGTCGCTGCCATCGTCGAGGAACTGGTCGGCCGAAGTGAACCCGAGTATCGACTGGATGTCCTCCTGTCGCTCAGCCAGGGAGGCGGAAGCGATGATGAAGATGCCCTCCTGCTCGTACAGGTCGGTAAACACTTGGACGTGGCCAGACGTGATGAGTCTGTCGTAAAACTCGCGCAGCTTGTCTGGCGTGTATGCTATGCTGAAGTCGGACGCATTCTCGTAGTTGTCGCTCAACATTCTCGAGAACCGTTGCAGCATGCGCTGACGCACCCGCACCGAGTCGAGACATTGCTTGTATCGCTTGCTCATCTCGGCCACGGTTTCCCTCGGTTTGACCTGCAGCTCTCTCTCAAAGGTGATGCTCAGTCGGTTGAGGGCTTTGAAGGTCAGAGAGCTGAACTGCTCGGCGACTTCGACATTGCCACCCTGCAGGTGGCTTCCGATCTCGTTGCCGAAGCCCCACTCCGCGAACAGCAGCTCGGCCTCCTTGAACGTGTTCTTGTTGCCGCTCAGCTTCCAGTTGAGCATCTTGAAGTAGTATTTCAGGGCATCCAAGACGACCTGGTCAAACGAGTCATCGATCATGGGAGGAAGGTCCCAGCCGGGTTCTGGCTGGGCGATGGCCAGGTATTCGAGCTTGATGCGGATGGCCAGCTGGAGCAGCGTCTGGAACTGCGAGATCATCTGGTCCTGCATCAGCGAGTTCTGCTGCGCCGACTCTTTCACCTTCTTGGCGTAGGCGAGTCGCATCTTGATGATCTCCTCGATGAGGCGGGACGGGAAGCTGATGAGGGTCAGAAGCTCCTCGATGTACGGCGGAAGGTGGCGTTTCTGGAAAGCGGCAAAGTTGCGGATCAGCGTCTCCTTCGACTTGTTGATGACGGTGGAGATGCCGGCGAGCATGCCTTTCTGGACGACCTTGTGCTTGTCGTCGTTGCGGTCCTCGTCGTAGAGCGACTTGAGGCCGTCTTCCTTCATGAGTCGGTCGAGGAACGAGGTCTCGTCGGGGATGCCGTTGCCGACGGGAGAGCGCTGGCGTGTCCGAGAAAAGTCCAGGTCATCATTGCCCACCCACTTTTTGAGAATGGCGAGCTCAATGGCGATGAGCTCGTTCGTGTTGTGCCACGAGACGATGGACTCGTAGGCCTCCTCAAACAGAGGCGACTTGGCCGAACTGTGTTCGGCCACGAGGGCGGACCAGGACGGATAGAGGCTCTCGCACTTGTCGATCCTCTCGACAATGTCTTTGACCTGTTCGTGCGGTGGCTTTCCGACCTCGCTCTCGCCCTTGACGGAGAAGTTGATGATGTCGTCGAGTGTGCGGCCGAGGGCGCCGCGTGCCTCCTCGACCATTCGCTTCTGGACAGAAAGGTGGCGGCCGCAGACCTTGGACCGGATGCCCAGCCACAGCTCGTTCTTCTGGGCCGACTCGCCGACGGCCGGCTCGCCAGAGCCGATCAAGCGCTTCTTCTCCTGGCGCACGACGTCGCCGGTGAGGACGGCCTCCAACATGCCGTACCACTCGAGTCGCTCACGGTTGGCGGGGTCCTTGACGTCCTCGTCGGTGGGTTGCAGGTCGTCGTTGCCGTAGAACATGATGGTCTCCTGCTCATATCGATCTTCGTAGGGCCCTTCGGACGAGGGCGTCTCGCCTTCCGAGTCGGAATCGCCCTGGTTCATGCCGTTGGTGTAGCCGTCGAAGGGGTAGCCGTCGCCGTAGTCTTGCCTCAGACGCTGCACGTAGGCTCTCTCCTGCTGGCGGAAGCGCTCGCTCGGACGGGGCCGTGAGCGAGAGCTGCGGACCGACTCGGTGAATGACGGCGCCGGTTGGGGCCGCCTCTGGGGCGCATATGTGCTCGAAGGTGTTCTCGCAGGACCGCCGGGCCTGATGCTGGATTTGAGGGAGCTGCCGTTGACGGCAACGTAATGACCGCCGTTGAGGTCCCCCGTCGACGACCGCATGCTTCTGCTGGTCCCGTTGGTGAGGGCCGTCTGGACGAGAGAGGTCATGGAGCCGGCGTGGACCGGGTCGTATACGGAGAGTGCCGGCAGTTCGTCGTGGCGTTCAGCGGCGTGAGGATCATCGTTGGGGGATTCGGCGGAGGAAAGGGAATTGCTGGACTCGAGGACTGCGATGGTGGAGGATCGTGGCGACTTCATGAGCTCGGCGCGTGCGTCTTCCTCGCCGTTGGAGAAGCGCACATTGCGGGGGGAGTGCTCGGACGGCATGCCGGCTGCTTCTGATGTGGAAGAGAAGGAGACGGACGAGGGCGATGAAGAAGAGGTGAGCAGGCAGCCTGCGTCGGCAAGTAAAAAGACACTTGTCGATGGGCCAGCGTGCGTGGGTTGAAAGCCAGCAGGCGAAAGGATTCGGGGGCCGGGGGGGCGTGGAGGCAGGCAACTCGGGATTCGTGATGGGCGTCCCAAGTCGAGTCAGGATGGCCGGAAGCGGGTTTGTTGTAGGGCGACAAGACTTTGGTAGGCAGCGAGTCGCGCGGGGTCGGGCGGCCGACGAGTGGGATGAGCCCAGATTAAAGCCCAGCCATGTGTATCGGGCTGAGCGTGTAGGAAGGTCCTGAAGAAAGAGACGACGAACTGTTGGCGATGGGTCGAATGGGGAAGGGGGGGGAAGGACAGGCACGAAGGCGGACGACGTGTAGAAAGGGACAAAATCCAGGATCACGAACAGTTGACGGCGGCAGGGCCACACCAGTATCAGTGACAGGACTTTTCGCGGCAAGGCCAGGTGAGACAAGGCAAGGCAAGGCCAGGCCAGGCAAGGCAAGGTGAAATTTGGGCGTCGAGGGTCGCAGACTGCAGGGGGAGGGGGGAGGGGAGCAGACGCCCCCAGGAGGGTCGTGCCACGTTTCGATTGGCTGGTCAGGCTAGCTCCCCCCCGGCTCAGTGGCATCGTTGTAGTGGGCGACGCCCCGAGGGCCCTACGACCGTCCCCCAGGTCCCCTACATGGACCGCCTGGAAGTGGGAGCTCTTGAGGGCCTTGGGGGGCTGCTCGCTCTGGGATCTGGGAGACAAGAACGCGGCACGAGTGGGTCGGCGATGGGCAGCTGCTTCTGCTGCTTTCTCCAAGGAACCCCCGCCGACGTCGAGATCGCCGTGGCAGGCTGTCATCGAGGTTTGGGTGCACGCGCCACCTGTGGCCATTGGCTGCACCCTGCACCGCCAGCACCCTGAACGAGATGAGCCACGCGTGGCGAGGGAACACGCATGCATGCCGCCTGCTGGCGCCCTGCATACCTACCTACTTACTAGGTTCCTTGGTATATCCCACATCAGTCGTGTTTCCTCCGACACGTTCTTTTCCTTTGCCTGTCTGCCGCCGCTCCAACAAGACAGGTTTGTGGTCTCGCGGCGATCGGGCTTTTCTTTCCTTCGCCTCTGTTCCCGTCACATGATGATGATGAAGATGCCGAGGATCGATCTCGATGTCGTCTGTTGGACCTTGATCGATCGCCCCGGTTGTTTCGACACATGAGCACCTGGGCTTCGGGTTTCTGTATACCCATGGCCAGCCGGGGGCGCGTGTCTCGTCTGTGGCTGATATGGAAAGCCCAACAACATCGGACGTGTGGTCTGTACCTTGAGGCACCTACATGTACCTAGGTAGTCTGTAGTCGGTGGGCCGAGCATGGAGTGGAGTAGATAAGATAAGATAAGATCTGAAATAATTTTGGTGCATCGGCCCACTGGAACCTCGCATCAGGTCGTCCCATCGGCGGAAGGAAGCTCGACGCCGGCCTCACCGTTTGCAGCCTCCTTCTTCGCTCACCCTCTCGCCCACCTTCTGGCTCTGTCCCCGTGCATCTCGTGCCGCCAATTGATCCCAGAAATGAAACGCAAGGCTGACGCACAGGCCGACAAGAAGGCCTCCAAAAAGAAGAGGAGCAAGTCTGGTATGTTGTGGTCTGCCCCCCACCTTTGGTGAGCTCAAGAACGAACTCTCCAGGACATCCATCGTCCATCGTCCATTGTCCATCACGACGACCATGGCAGCCAACTCTCTGCTGACACGAAAAATGCAGTTCTCTCGGCCGCTGACGCCAAGTCGCGCTTCCGCGATGGCCTCTTTGACCAAGAGGTCCTCCAGTCCTACACCGACGAGTATGCCACCTCGAGCCCGTACAAACATGCCGTGATCCACAAGCTCGCCGACGACAAGCTCCTGCGCAGCGTCCGCGACGAGATTCGCGAAAACGTCTCCTTCACGCCCAAGGAGACGGACATTTACAAGATCCACCAGTCGGGCGACCTCGCCAACCTCGACGGCCTCGACAATGACGCCCTCGCCAAGCTGCCGTCGCTGCTGGCCCTCCGCGACGCCATGTACTCCGAGACGTTCCGCCACTACGTCTCCCACATCACCGGCTGCGGGCCCCTGAGCGGCCGCAAGACGGACATGGCCATCAACGTCTACACGCCCGGCTGCTACCTGCTCTGCCACGACGACGTCATCGGCTCCCGCAAGGTCAGCTACATCCTCTACCTCACCGACCCCGACGTGCCCTGGAAGCCCGAGTGGGGCGGCGCCCTGCGCCTCTACCCCGTCGACGAGAAGGAGGGCGCCGGCGGCGAGGTCGCCAAGACGCCCGCGCCCGAGTTCGCCAAGGTCATCCCGCCCGCCTGGAATCAGCTGTCCTTCTTCGCCGTCCAGCCGGGCGAGTCCTTCCACGACGTCGAGGAGGTCTACCACGCCGCCTCGCCCGCCGAGCTCGCGCGCCAGGGCGGCCGCGTGCGCATGGCCATCAGCGGCTGGTTCCACATCCCCCAGCCCGGCGAGGACGGCTACGTGCCCGGCGCCGAGGCCAAGCTCGCCGCCAACTCGGGCCTCATGCAGCTCCAGGGCAACCCCGACCAGCACGACGCGCCGCGCGCCCGCCCCGTCGCCGTCCCCGACAAGACGGCCCCCGGGCTCGACGACTTTGACGCCGCCGACCTCGACTTTCTCGTAAAGTACATCACCCCGACCTACCTCACGCCCGACGCCCTCGAGCAGATGGCCGCCCACTTTGACGACAACTCGTCCATCACGCTGCCCAACCTGCTCTGCAACAAGTTTGCCGCGCGCCTGCGTGCGTACGTCGAGGCGCAGGAGCAGGAGCAGACGAAAGACACCAAGAAGAAGAAGAACAAGAACAAGAACAGCGACACCTCCGCCTGGCTCGTCGCCAAACCCCCGCACAAGCACCGCTACCTCTACCAGCAGCCCGCCGACCTGCGCGCCGCCCGCGACGAGTCGCCCGTCACGGAGCTCCTCGACGTGCTGCTGCCGAGCCGCCAGTTCCGCCAGTGGCTGCAGACGGCGACGGGGTGCGTCGTCGAGGGCCACGACCTGCTCGCGCGCCGGTTCCGCCGCGGCCAGGACTACACCCTCGCCACGGGCTACGCCGGCAAGCCGCGCCTCGAGATGAACCTCGGCTTCACGCCGACGGTCGGCTGGGGCGACGACGAGGGCGGCGACAGCGATGACGACGATGAGGAAGACGATGAGGAGGAAGAGGAACAGAGGAGCAAAAAGGGCAAGGGCAAAGCGAAAGCCAAAGACAGCAAGAAGGAAAAGCAGCAGCAGCAGCAGCAGCAGCAGCAGGAAGAGCAAGAAGCCCCCGAGGTCGGCGGCCACGAGGTCTACATGGCCGGCGACGACGAGGAAGACGACGACGACGCGGACGAGCAGGCGAAAAAGGACAAGAACGACGCGGCCGTGTACAAGTCGAGCGGCGACGAGGACAACATTCTCTTCTTCCAGGCCGCCGCCTGGAACAAGATGACGCTCGTGCTGCGCGACAGCGGCGCGCTCAAGTTTGTCAAGTACGTCAGCCAGAGCGCGCCGGGCGACAGGTGGGACGTGTCCGCCAACTTTGACGTCGAGGAGCAGGACCTGCCGCCGGGGGCTGAGGGGGACGGTGGTGCGGCCGGCGAAGACGACGAGTCGGAGGAGGAGTTCCAGGGCTTCTCGGACCGTGACGAGAGCGAGTCGGATTGAGGGGTCTGCTGTCTCGTTTGGCCGTTGCTCGGCTTTTGCGTTTCATGGCGTAGGCGCTGGCGCACGAAAATACAACCCCGTTTGAGTCGACGCTGTGCCTTCAGCATGCTGGGAAGCGAAGCCTCATATGAGATGGGGACAACGTGGGCGGACCCCACGAAGACAGTCACAGACAGCGCATGTCATCGCCAAAGTGACAGGGTACGCCCCAGTCACACCCCGAGGCGCACTGCCTTGTCGTATACACACGCAGTCAGAGCCAAGCATCCATCACATGACGCTCGTTGTTTATCCATCAAGAAACAAAATGTCTTCCATTCAGATCATGGCACACGCTACCCTGTCCGTATTCCTAACTCATGCGCGGTGCCAGGCGTGTTTCAGACGCAAAACTCCGTTGATCCCCAATGCCCAGGTATCTAAAGTACAACAAACAAGTCGCAACGCAATGCTGGCTCGAAAGCAAATGCGGGTGCAGCTCGTGCAAAATCAAGCAATGCGAGCCACGCTACAGCTTCTTCAGCTGCTTCCTCGGCACCGTGTCGACAAAGGCATGGCTCAGAAAGTGCATCCACGCCTTGTTTTTCTTCTTGTTCTTCCGCTTCTTCTTCTTCTTGTTGCCCTTGCCCTCTATCTCCATGTCGTCTTCGTCAGTGCTGAGCGTCGGGTTTTCGTCCTCTTCTACCTTTTCTTCTCCTTCATCCTCTTCGTCATCTTCGTCTACCAGACCAAGGTCGTCTTCGTCTTCATCTTCGTCTTCAAAGTCTTCAGGCTCGCCATCCTGGCCCTCGAGCGCCTCGACCATCTTGCCCTTGACCTTCTGCTGCCCGATTCGGTACGCAAGCTTGACGTAGCTTCGCACCGTCATGTCCTTGAGCCTGTAGATCTTGTCCGTAAACGTGCTGTACTCGACCTCAAACTTGAATGGGTTGGGTTTCGGCTTCTTCGTCTTGGGGTCCTTGCCCCTGTGGATGCCGTCCTTCCAGCGCTCTGCAGACGCGCCGCCTTCGTCGTGCTCCCCCCCGTTGCCGTCGTGGGTCATGTCGTTGTTGAGATACGTCAGGTTGGCAAAGTACTGCGTGTAGCCCAACAGCGTCAGGGGCTGGGGTGAGTAGGCTGGGCCCGGCGGTGCGTGCTTGGCCGGGGGTTCGGGCATGACCAGGTTCGGGTCTTTGGGCTTCTTTCCCTTCTTTCCCTTCTTGCCCTTCTTGCCCTTCTTGCCCTTCTTCTTCTTGTGCTTTTCCCCTTTTGATGCCTCAAAGTCGACATTATCGTCATCCGAACCGTCTTCGTCATCGTCATCCTCCTCGTCGGTCGTGTCAGCCATTGTCGCCGTGGGCCCTTCAGCCTCATCGTCTTGCGCAGCCGCCAAAGGTGATACGTGCTTATCCCACTTCTGCTGACTGAACGAATCGGTCCAGACAGCGGTGTTCTCGAGCCCCTCAATGTTGTACTCGTAGATGCGGAGCGTGGGGAAGTAGTTTGGCACAATACTCGGGCTGATCAGAGATAGGTGGTAGCGTTCGGCGAACTTGCCGCCAATATCCTTATGGCCTTTGCCCTTGTGGCCCTTACCCTTCTTGCCTTTACGCTTCTTCGCCGCATCGACCGAGTCTTCGGCACCGTCGTCAGACATGTCATCGTCCTCCACAGTATCTTCCAGGTCGTCTTCCATCAGGGCCTTGACGCCCGCCATGGGAATCTTGGCCCAGCCGCGGCGCAGCTCGCGAAGATAGTCAGACGCCGAGGCCACAGAGAAGTCGTCCTCAAAGTTCTCCCGCATGTGGAGGTCTTGCACCTCGCGTATCATGCCGGTATCATGCTTGCCGTTGATGGAGGCGAGGTTGATGTCCCTTGTATCCTGCAGAATAAAGTGGTTGATGTTCATATGGCCCCAGAGGGTGGCGGTGATGACGTCGCGGTACTGGCGCAGCCACAGGTTGTACTTTTGCCAGCACGTCTCGTCCCAGTTCTGCTTGCTGTTGGTGCGAGCGGGAGGGACGTGACCCATGAGGATGACTTTCATGCCGCGCTCGCGCATGACCTGTAGCTGGATGCGCAGCCACTCCATCTGCATGAAGCCAGGCTCGGAGGGGGTGGTGCAGCCGTCGACGGCAGCATTTCGATCAAAGAGGTAGAGCGTGTTGAGGCTGAAGACGGCAAGACGGTTCGGGATAACTTCGACGTTGAACCACCCGCCGAGGTCAAAGGTGTGGCGTTGCTCCTCCGGGATGAAGTGCCGCCATATCTCGGTGTAGTATTGCAGCCATCGCGTGGGGCCAGGGACCAAGATGTTGTGCGGCAGGATGTCGTTGTTGCCCAGATTCGGCACAATGGGCACGGCCAGACGCTGTCCATTGTGAGGGGCGGAGAAGGTCTCGTAGAAGAGGTCGGCGACGCGGCGGTTGGTGCCGAGGACCTGACGTTGGTTTCGAGGTATCTTCTCGTCCGAGTCGTGTCGAGCCGTGTCGCCGGTCCAAATCACAAAGTCAATGTCGTCGACGACGTTTTCTCGTATCCATTCGAGCGTGGCATTGACGAGAGTAAAGGGCGAGTCGCAATCCGACGTCTCGGCGCCGTAGTAGCCGGCCGGGCCCTTGGAACGGTGGCAGGCATAGCCCTCGCCGGTCGACGTATGGGCCTTGTAAAAGTCGTCGGGGTGAAGATCGGTGATGTGCAGAAACTTGCCGCGAAGCTTGCGGGGCTTTGAAGCCGGTGACGCCGCAGACGACTCGTCCTGGATGTGGGGGTTTGTCGCGCCCGAGTCCTGGGTGCCGCCATCTGGTGTACCGAGAATCTTCTGCTGTGCATCGACGTCGAGGGGCGAGGCGGCGACGGTGACGCCATGGTGCAGCAGTGGAAGCGCGAGCAGCGCGAGGTACCGCAGACGCGACCGCGGTCGCGGGTGGAGGACCATGACGGGGATGTTCGCAGCCTGTGTCCGCCAGTCCAAAGTGCGCTCTACGTCTGGTACGCTGTAATCGTCGTAATGGTGGGGAGGAGCTGCACCTGTCGAAGGGGGGGCGGCGCGGCGGTGGGTGGGTGTCACCAATCCAGGGTTCGCGGTATGAGCGTGTGTCAAATGGGGTATTTCGCTTTGTATGTCGCACGTACGACCGATGACACGACGCACAATTTTTTTTTGGATAAAACCCAGGTCAAGCGGAGATGAGGTTGAAATAACTAGGAAGACAAAGGCTTCGAATGAGGCTGGCGGTGATAGATGATGTGCCAGCTCCTGGAATGGAAGAAATGCTCGTCTGGACTTGCCTGACCTGAGAGGAATAAGGTAGGAGGAAGGGCAAGAAAAGGACCCACGTCACCGCTATGTACGTTAGGCTTGGCCGTTCGGAAGCCACCAGCTATTTAAATCGGGCCAGCACTACGGGGGCACAATCAATGCGTGCGCGCCCAGTCTCTTCGAATCACCATTTGAAGCAACGACGGCACTCGAGTCGATGACCATCAGGGTATGCTGCCGCATCTGTGTGACGTCTAGCGACGAGGATGAGCACAAACATCGCACGAGACCGCTGGAGGGAGCGCTGGACCGGTCCACGGGGTCTGTCGACGTTGTCTTGGCGCGAACCAATCCTGGGCTGGCATGCCACCCACGTGCAGAGGGTGAGCTGCTGCTGGACGTCGGTATATCTGCGCTACGACTCATGAAGGGCTCAGAAGGATGATGATCAGAAGGTGGACCTATCTGCATGGTGACCAACATGGTCGACACAACGCATCGTGTGGCCTGCTTGTTTGCCCTCTGTTGCATGATAGTTTCCTTACAGGTACCTAACTACCTGGCCTGCCTCGTGCCTAGGTACTGTGCACCGTGCCAAGGGGGCCAGCAGCCAACACCTGGCAAGGCCCCGGGGGGCTGTAGGCTGCTTACGTGACCAGGCCCCTCTACGCAAAGAACCATCAACAATAAAAAGAATTGCACGACTGGCCCGTTTGGCTCGAATTTCCCTTCTTCTTTTCTTCATTCCACCCCTTCTTCGGAAGGGGCCTGCAACGGTTCCCCTCCACCTAAGCGGCGCTGCATCCTCCATGTCGCGCTGTTGGAGGGTTGAGTTGCCAGATGAATGAAGCGTTCGTTTGAGGGTTGTCATAGATTGTTTTCCGTGATGACTTCCCATGGTAAAATTGCGCCGACATATACACACCTCTCGCCCATCGTCGTCGTCGTGCTGTCATTGAAGTGCAACCCGCAACACATGGTGTGCCTGTTCATGAATATTCGATACTCTCTGGCACCTTGCGCCCCTGTTGAAATTCTTCATGTTTGCTACCTTGGATACCTCTGTCCACCAGCGCACCCGAAAACAGAACAGACCCGAACAAAACAAAACACCGTACCCAAGGGAAACCTTGTTGAAAGCTCGCTCCTCGTACACCCTTTTGCTGCCGCCAATTGCGAATAAAAAAAGAGGAATGCCCGTCAGACGCCTCATGCCGGTGCAGGCATGGGGCCCTTGAAGTACTTGGCCGCGACGAACGGCATCTTGGTCACCGTCAGGCCCCTCTTCTTGCCGCGCACGACAACATCGAGCTCGGTGCCCGCCTTGTGCAGGCCGTCACGCACGTAACCCATGGCAATGTTCTTACCCAGCGTCGGGCTCGGCGACCCGCTCGTCACGACACCCACCTTCTCGCCCTCCTTGGTGAAGATCTCGGCGCCCTCGCGTGCGGGCGCACCGGCCACGACGAAGCCCACTCGGCGCCGGTCGACGCCCTGCCCGCCCTTGCTCTTGACCACGAGCTGCGGCGCGATCGCCTCGGCGCCGTGGAAGCCCGCGTCCGCGCGCCGCCGCTCCTTGGGGATGATCCACGAGAGCGCCGCCTCCACCGGCGTCGTCGTGTCGTCAATGTCGTGACCGTATAGGCACATGCCTGCCTCCAGACGCAGGCTGTCGCGTGCGCCGAGGCCAGCAAGACGCAGCGTCTCGGGCCCGGCCGTCGAGAGCAGCGTCTCAGCGAGGCGCGTCGCCTCGTTTCCGGGCGACTCGAAGCTGACCTCGAAGCCGTCCTCCCCCGTGTACCCACCGCGGCTGATCATGGCCTTGCCAGGAAGCACGATCCACTCGCCGCTCTCGTTCTGCGCGCGCAGGCGAGCCCACACCGTCTGGCCAAAGTACACTGCCGACAGGTCGACGCCCTCAGCCGGGTCAATGACCTTCTGCAGAACCTCGGCGCTCTGAGGGCCCTGCAGCGCCACGAGGCCGAGGCCCTGGAGCACCTCCCACCAGAACTCGCCGCCTTCGGGCTTCTGCAGGGCGGCCGTGTGCTCGGTCAGGTACTCAAAGACCTTTTCGCGCGTGCCTGCGTTGGAGACGACGCGGTACTCCTCCTCCTCGGTGCGCGTGATCATCGTGTCGTCGACGATGCCACCCGTACCGGGCCACAGGAAGGTGCTCAGCTTACTCGTGCCAATCTCCATGTCACGCACGCCCGAAGGCGTCACCTTCTCGAGGAAGGCGGCAGCCTGGGGACCAGTGAAGCGGTGCTGGACCATGTGGCTGACGTCGAAGAGACTGGCGTGCTCGCGGGTGAAGTGGTGAGACTGGGCGAGGGACAGGTCGGCGTACTGGACGGGCATGTGGTGGCCGCCAAAGAGGACCATCTTGCCGCCGTGGGCGACGTGAAAGTCGTATAGGGGTGTCTTGTCCTGCTTGGCCGAGGCGGCCAGCTGGGCGCGCCATTCCTGGCGGGCCTCAGGCGAGGGCGGCGCGGGACCTGTGTAGAAGCGCGGGCGAGCGGCCATGGCCATGGGGGCTGCAGTGCGGGGAGCTGAGGCGAGGAGCAGCGGGCGGGCCGCACGGGCTACAGCGAGCAGCCTGACACGAGACATTCTGACGGCTCGAAGGGGTCAATCGAGGTGTCAATAGGCGTGTGAAAAGGAAGCGATGGAGGTTGGCAATTGAGAGGTGGAGAGTTGTGAGTAAGATAGAGGCAACGTCGAGCCTCCGTCACTTGCCATGTGAAGTCGGGTCGAGGCAGGAAGGATCCAGGTGGTTGGCGGGCCTTTATCTGCGGGTCCGATGGAAGCCGCGGTCGGTCGAGTCACTGACCCGGGAAAGGGCGACCTCGGAGCTCACACACGGCCTCTGGTTTGCTAGGGGCCTGGCAGCTTGCTCCTCCACGGCTCCAGCTCCAGGCTACGCGAGTCAATCGGCTTCAATTGTCGTTGTCACATATTACGTACCGACAACCATAGCTCAAAATTGCTTCAATTTGTGCACCGTCAAGCTCACTCGGGTTGACGTCATCCAGAAGCATTCGAAGCACTGATTATATTTAGGTACCTGGGGGTTCATGCTCTGGGCAGAGTTGGTTGGCATGATTTTTAAGAAAACGCACTTCAAAATAGCGTTTTTTCAGAGAAGCTCCAATGGTTTCTACAGTTCCCAGTATTGAGACTGCTGACGAACAAATGACAAAAGGGATTCCTCCCTGGTCGACAGCCCATCTCGAACCGGTGATCCCTCTACGCGCCTTCTGGCCTGCGCGCCCTCACAGGGTAGAGGCATGTGATATGGGTATTTGCTTAGGGTGACCTCTAGGGTCGCTACACCATGCGTCACGCTGTAGCGGCCCTTGTTGGGGAAAAGGCAGCCTGCGAGGCTTATGAAGGGCTGGGCCTGAGGAAGGTGATAATATTGAGAAGAAACCGGAACAGTGGCTAGGCAACCCATACCAGTAGTGACAGTCTAGTCCTGCCGGCACCATGTGGTGAGCAACAGAGGCAGGTTCACGTGTACAGCTTCAAGACAAAATCAGTACAGTGCTCTATAGGCTACTTGTCAAAGCCTACGACAACGAATGCTCGACTCCACAATCCTACAACAGCCTCCACCTCCAGCGCGTCATAAAACCTCTGCCCTCATGCGCACCCAGGATACCTGCCGCTCAGCCGTCAAAGCTGTACTTCAGCCAGCCGCCCAAAGCGCGCAGGCTCTCCCATCGCACGCTCTCGTCTGCCTCGCCCATGAGCTCCATGACGCGCGTCTTGAGCCCAAGCTTCTCAAGCTGGTACCGCCTTTCAGGCACCTCGCGCACGAGCGCGCCAACGTCGTTGCACGCAATGGCGAGCACCTGCTTATCGCTGTCCCACGGCGTCTTCATGATCTCGGCGAGCCTCCGCGGGATGTCACCCTTGTCGTGGTCGAGGATCTTACGCGCGTTCTCGGCCCAGAAGACCTGGCTGCGGTGCGGCGGCGACCAGCGCAGGTGGCCCGACTGTACCTCGGCCACATACTCGTCAAAGTTGGTCTTGGTCTTGGCGTACTCCTCGAGAAGTTCCTTGAGGCTAGCGAGGTCCTCAAGCAGGTCCGGGTCCGTCATGTGTCTACCGCTGACATTCGTGAGAAGCGTAGGCAGGCGCGCGAGGACCGCGGTCGGAAGGAGCGTCTTCTGGTTCGACTCGAGCAGGTTATGGAGGGTCGACACGATGAGGCGCGTGGTCTTCTCCTTGGGCGACAGGCGGAGGAGGTGCGTGTAGAGAAGAACAATATCGTACTCGCTGCTCTCCAGTCAGTTATGTTACCTCATGCCTATGAAAGATAGTTGCTTACTCGCTCAGCTCATCGCCAATATCTTCGGCCTCAAAACTAAGCTGCCACATGACGAGAAGTACATGGTATAGCAACTGCAAACCGACGCCGCCACCCAGAGAGCCGGCAAATCCAACGTCGCGAGCGGGAGTGTTGCCGCTCCAGAGACTGGCAGAAGAGCTGCCGTTGCTGCCAATACCGGCCGCACTCCTCAGAAGGTCGATCAGGGGCTGGACGGTTTCGCTGCGCTGGTCCCAGAACTGTTGCCTAGAGCTGCGCGAATAGAGGAGCGATGAATACTCTTGAACGGCGATGTCTTGGAGCCCAGCATCAGAGCTCTTGGAGAGACCGGACAGATAGGTGAAAAGGAGAGGCAGAGCACGGTGGGTGGCGGCAGACTCGTCGCGGGAGGAGGCGATGAGTTTGGTGAGGGCCGTGGCCGTCAGCAGAGGTATCGGATCCTCCGTATTGTTTGAGTTGGCGAGCAGAGGAAGAAAGCTCTTGTAGGGGTCGCCGGACTTGAGGAGAGCCTTGGAGAGAGAGGGTACGCTCTGGAGGAGGTCGCTCAGCAGGACGAGGACGTAGTGGATGACGTTGGCGTTCTTGCCAGCTTTTTCGATGGCGCTGGGCTTGCCCTGCTCGCCGACGAAGAGCAAGCGATAGCCATCGAGATCAGCCTCGACAACCTCCTTGCGGGCCTCGGGCTTCTTCGCCTTGTCGGCAGCGCGAATTCGGGCGAGATGATCCTCGGTGATGGTGCCGGCCCTAACAGCGCCATCCCAGGGGATGGGCCGCTGGCGAATGTTGTTCTGAAGCGAGGCCAGGTAGGTGGGCGGGTCGAGGGACATGGCGGCGGTGGTAGAGGGTCGAGGGTGCGACCCTGGTTCACGGTGTAGGAGCTGAGCAGGGCCGAGCTAAGTCAATTGACGTTCGAGGTCGGGCCGCGTTGGAGATGCCGGTGGCTAGGTGTCGTGATGAGGCCCAAATTGGATGGGGGGAGGTTGACGTCGATGGCTAGAGCTGCAGTGTAGCACGCAGCACCAGTGCTAGCACTAGCAGCAAGGCGGGCAATCAAGGCAGGTCGACGCATGCGCCTCAGAAGCTGGATTGTGGCTGTCCTTCGTCAGCCACACTAGCTTCTGGTGCACGGGCCCATTGGGGACCTGGTAGCAGTTGCGGCCTCGAGCGATCTCAGGGTGGCAAAAGGATGGCGAGGAAGAAGTTCGATAGTGTCAAGGATCCATCCAGTCACCAATCAAGGCACAATTCGCTCCGAGATAACTCAGCCTTGGAACTCGCAGCCCGTTTTCGTGATAGCGAGTGAAGGCATAAGGCTTCGTCACGATGATCTGGAAGGGGGCTCACATCAAGCCTCACAGCGTACGCTTCAAATCGAGTTGTTTGATTTGGGGTCATCATTCGCTCCCGCGCTTTGTTCCCAAAATACCCAGCAGCGCTTCGGAACTCTCTTCAATCTTTTTCTCTTTCCATATTCCAATTCTGGTGGTGCCGGGACTCTTGACCCCACAAAGTTCGCTTCTGAAGAAAACGTCATGCATAGACTGAGGGGCAATCATGAGTACTGTCGACAACCCGATGGCATAAACCGTGTTCGGTGCTGGCCATACCAAGGAAGACAAAGTCAAACGGCACGGTCTACAGCGTAATCCTGCCTGTGCTAACGCGAGAACCTGGCCGTTTTGAGATAGTATTCTCAAAGCATCCCTGGGTAACACAGACGAAGGTTGTGCACACACGACCTGCCATTTGTGGCCACATAATTGTCAACACTCAGAATGCAGACGCCAACTTTGCACCGCCTCGGAAAAATTGTCTGGAGGCTGTAAAGATCGTTGTTGAACCGGGAGTTACGATTACAAGAGAACGTCTTTCCCAGATGTTGTGGGGTGTCGTATGTACTCAACGCCCCGTCGCACGGATGACGCTGTCGTCATGTACCTGGGACGAGCTTCAAGTCAGCTTGTGGCAGAAGCTTGCAACACAACGGCTTAGTCAGTGGGCCAGCCATGCGAAAGGCAGGCAACGGCGGTCGGTGATCGACGCCGCCGTCTTTGCTTCTGTGGCATTCGCCGAGACCTTCTCCTCCAGGGCAACAAGCAGGGCAGCAGGGCACCGGCCACGGAACACTCTACCGACCCGTGCTGTCTTGCGTTTACGAGGACCGAGAAACCTTAGCTGCATCGACGTCAGCCATCAGAAACTGGGCCTGGTGCCCGACGGACATGATGACTGGTCGATATGGGCCTCGAGGTGCAGCTGGTCCCTCTCATCATGCGACGCCTTTGGTTCGTGAGGGGTTTCCGTCACAATGGCAGAAGTGCTCGGGATGGCGCCGACGAGGTGTCGGACAAGACGGGAGTCATGCCACCTGCCTACCTACCTAGGTACTTTCCTTGGGACTCTCTACATGAGGAGCTGTAGCAACAATTGGAATAGATGGGAACCGGGCTAGTGGTTCTGGGAGCTTTGGGCCGTGATAAGGATCAGATGAAGCGTGGTGGGCGCGATAGTCGCCCAGTGAACCACCGGACCCCCTGGAAGGGCCAAGTCTGCAAGCTCTTAAGTGGTCGCCAGCGCATCGCTTCGCGTCAGCACCCCGTTGCTCCTCCCCCGCACCCGTGCGACTCGTCCGTCTGTTGCTTGTCACTCGTCACTCGTCACTCATCAGAGGAAGGGACCTCCCCAAGCTACTGCTCTTCTCCAGGCAAGAACAAACGCAACTGCAAAAATCTGAGTGCCCCCGGCAAATCCAGGAACAGGATCTTCATCCGCTGATTTTGAAATCCCTTCCAGAGCCCAGATTCCAGATCCCAGATCCCTGTCTAGTTGCGGCAGAACATCTCGTACCTGAAAACGTGTGGTGAGTGAGTCCCCGGCTTTCCGTCCGCCGCCCATCACCAGAAAAGCGAGAGGCTGGCGTGCGAAACCACCAAAGGAGGAGGCTGGGAATCAACACAACCCATTTACCACCCCTTCTGCCTGCACCTGCACTCAATTCTCTTAAACCCATTCACTCCAAGACTTTTCCTCCTTTACCCTACGCTCTTCTCACCAAGATCCTGCCCATACCCGAAAGACCAAGCCCAACTTCTGGCAACTCAACCCTCACTGACATCGTACTGCGGCCGCTTACAGCATCGACCAACGGCCACAACTGCCAACAAGAGTAAGGTCGTCGCATTGCCAAACGCCAAAGTCAAAGAAGGATAGGACCAACATCCACATTCCAGTCTTCCCGTCGGCAATCAGTCTCACTTGTCAAAAAAGCCCACGCGGACGCCCACACCCACGCGAGTTTGGCCCACCACCCGCATTCCATGGTCTTGATCGCCAATTTCTGAGCTCCTACCCTCCATCATGCGGTGCACACAGGCCGCTCTGGCGGCACCACCCGCCATGCTGCTTGCCACCCTCGCCTTCTTGTCGGCACCGTCACGAGTGGCTGCTCACCCTTATCCGCTGCAAAACAACAACAACAACAACTACGATGCTGGCTTCCGCTTCATCATGCCTCGCGACTGCGTCCAGCGCTGCGGCAGTGACGGGCAATATTGCTGCGGTTCTGGCGAAGTGTGCTTTACCAGTGCAAATATTGCAGGTTGCTCTGGCGGCGCTGGTGGCAACTACGGCATCTACACAACCACGTGGACTGAGACCAACACCTTCACGAGCACGGTCACGACCCCTTTCCCTGCTGCCCCTACTGTTGAACACGGAGGGGGCGTCGGCGGCTCCGGTGTCTGCGTGCCCCAAGTTGAGGGTGAGACGTCATGCGGCAGCATTTGCTGCGCGGCGTGGCAGCAGTGCGCGAGCGAAGAAAAGAGCCAGTGCGAGCAGCGACCTGGATTTGGCGGCGGCATCATCACAACCACAGTTACCGACGGCAACGGCCAGACCATCACGACCCGCTATTCCGCTCCCTACCGTGTGACAAGCACAACCTTCACCAACTCGGCAGGCTCCGCTACCTCGACCGGCGTTGTCGGCACCGGCACCGCCATCCCTAATGAGGGTGACAATGGTGAAGATGGTGGCACTGGCGGCGGCGGTCTCTCTGCTGGCGCCATTGCAGGCATCGTCATCGGCACCCTTGCTGGTATCGCCCTCCTCATCCTCATCTGCTTCTGTTGCATTGCCCGTGGCCTCTGGGCCCTGCTCTGCGGCGGCAAGAAGAAGAAGGACGACCGTCGCCGTGAGCGCACCGAAGTTTACGAGGAGCATTACCGAGGTGGCAGCCGGATGCCCTCTACACACTCCCGCCGTGACCGCCACACCGGATGGTTTGGAGGTCGCCCCGCCTCGGCCTCGGCCCGCCGCGACCCCGAGAAGGACCGCTCGAGCGGTGCGAAGTGGCTCGGCCTTGGTGCCGGCGCCGCCACCCTGTTGGCGCTACTCAACCTGCGCAAGGATAAGAAGCCCGAGCGCAAGGCGCGCTCGCGCTACACGGACTCGTACTACTCGTACACGGACAGTGAGTCTTCGCGGTCGCGCGCACCCATGCCGCCCGCCGGCTCGCGGAGGGCGTCCTCTCGGATGCCCCCTGCGGCGGCGCCGTCTGGGTCGCGTCGTTATGACGATGACCAGTCAGACCTGACGTCGTACCTAGGTGGCAGCTCTGCCGGCCGGACGAACCGCACGAGGCGGACTGAACCGCGCGCTGAATCGCGCTACTCACGGCGGTAGATGGGCGGAAGCCATTATTCGACGATGGCTGATGAGAATGTCTGCCTCTTGACGGTGGACAGTACATAGTGTGGTATTTCGATTTTCTTTTGCAAAGCGGCGTTCAGGGGGACATCAGCATGGGGCATGAGAGGGAAAGAGTTTCAAGAGCACGAATGAGATGGACATGTGAAACGAAGCATCGCAAGATGATAGGACGATATGAGAAAGGAAGCAAGTCTGAGGCGAGAGAGAAGTGGCTTGGCATAGCTCAAGTGCTTTCTCCCTTTTGCATAGCAATTCTTGTATGACTGCGGATGTTCATTTGCGAATAGACGACGAGGGCGACATTTGCCCTTTAATGCCCAACGACTATGCGATATCAAGTGTTTTGTAATGCGTGACCTTGATTCTGCCGTCAGTGGAAGCGATCTGGCGTAGTTTGCTGAGTTTGATTATTTTTCCTTGATTTCATCACTAGCGCTAGGGGGTTGTTTGTCCCCAGAAAAAAATCCAAATACAGCTTGTCACATCCGTTGACTAGCTGCGGAGTGCTTCACGTTCTTCTCATCATACAATCAGAGCAGAAAAACAAGCATTCATTATCGTCACTTTTTAAATCGCCGCTTCACATAGCATTTCATTCATCCTGGACAGGAGTGTGGCAATCTGGGTCGCTGAGATGTGAATTCGCCCAGAGGATGGTCGTGTCTTGCTTTTTGGTATACGCCTGTAGCCCCTTTGCTACAAATGTGCCATGCGAAGAAAAGAACCCTGCCACTCCTGTATCAAGACCCAGAATGCAAAAGAAACCCGAGAGACACTGCGCCGACCCTTTACTCGGCCTCGACAACGTGGCCCTTCTCGGAGACGTAGAGACCGTCAAGGAACTGTTGCGTGTTAGTTTTTTGATGACTCGACAATGGAGGGACAGTGCATGAGATGCAGGAAGGGAGGGAGCTCACCTTTCGGATATCCTTGTTGCGCACCCTGCAGATCTGCTGGATGTCGGCGGCGCTCTGGGAGACGTTCTCGAGGCTGTTGCCGAGGAGGACAAGCTCGTCCTTCTGGGCCTTGGAGATCTCGACATCGACACCCTCGTGCATGACGACCTTGCGGACAATCTTCTCGCCGATGAAGTTGCGGATCTCAACCTCCCACAGGCCAGTCTCGGAGTTCTTGTCGAGGTTGACGTTGATGGGGAAATGGGCGTAGACGTAACGCATCTTGTACTTGAAGCCCTTGGTGACACCGATGATCAGGTTGTTGATCAGGGAGCGGACGGTGCGGAGGGTGGCGACGTTCTTCCTGGAGCCGTGGTGGATCTCGATGTTGATGAGATCCTTCTTGGGCTGGGAGAAGTTGACAGCCAGGTGGCTGAGGTCCTTCACGAGCTTGCCTGGAGGGAGGAATTGACGAGTTAGCCATGGTCGCCATGAACCTGTCTTCGAATCGTCGACGGTCGCAACATCGCATTGGCAACAGAAGGGACGACTCGGTCGACGGTGATGAGTGGAGATACATAGGGAAAGAAAAATATTGTTACTTACCACGGGGGCCCTCGACGGTGACATTGCGAGACTTGATGTGAACCTTGACTGTTGGAGAATCCAAGTCAGCATGCATTCAGCCTGCCACTTCTGCTCCTTGCGAGCTCATCCACAGTCTGAACGTATTCCCATATCGACCTTTCCGAGAAAAAAGTCGAGAAGTCTTCTTCTTCCAAGTATTCGATCGACAGGTTGTCGGTTCTTTCCATGACGGTCGTGCCGGAATTTCCTTCCTTCTTTTCAAAGAAGGAGAGGTATTTGGTGTCGTCACATACCTCCCTCAGGGATCTCGACGGACTCGACAGAGTGAATGTACTTCATCTTGACGGTGGTGGGGGGGGATTGTTGGGCGAAAAGTCGTCGGCGGTTCGAGGTTGTCGTGAGGCTGGCTACTTTCAACTCGGGACACTGGAACTGGTATCTCGTCCTGGCTTTCGTCGGTGGGTGGGAAAAAAGCTCTAGGGCTTGTTGCACGTGAGGAACTTTTTTCACCATGGCTGGCCCGTGCCCTGAGAGACCTTGAGCGCACGGGCGGCGGGGTCATCCGAAGCCTCCCTAGCCACACAGCCACATGGTTGCGATCACGTGAAGTTCATGAACAAGAAGAGCCAATGAGACGCTAGCGCAAACCGAGAGCTCTCGTCCCAGCTCGGTCGCAGCTCCCGCCAGGTTTACGACCGACGACCATGGGGCGGTACCTGCGACCGTGATAGTGCAATAGTGCAGCCTGGCATCCGATACGTCAGCCTCCCGCTTGCTCCGTCACACCCCCCAACGAACGCCTACCCACTCCAACATCACAACCTCAGCATCTCCACGACGAACCCTCTCCAATCCGCGGTACGCTGCAATTGGGCTGCGTCAACATGGCCTACTTCTTCGCAACCCCCGTCGACATCGACATTGTGCTCGAGGATGCCGACGACCGTTCCATGGTCGATGTGAAGCTCGACAAGAACCGCCGCGAGAAGGCCCCGTTGTACATGGATGGGGAGTCTGTCAAGGGCGCCGTCACGATCAGGCCAAAGGATGGCAAGCGATTGGAACACACGGGCATCAAGGTCCAATTCATCGGAACCATAGGTGAGCGACCCCCCTTCTCCGCGTCATGCGCTAGAGAGCTGGAGAGCACAGCTCGCTTCCCAAGCGGGCATACGGGGATGCACACACTGACAGGACCCGTCGCACCCCTTCACAGAGATGTTCTTCGACCGCGGCAATCACTACGAATTCCTCTCGCTCGTCCAGGAGCTCGCCGCCCCCGGCGAGCTGCAGCACCCGCAGACCTTCGACTTCAACTTCAAGAATGTTGAGAAGCAGTACGAGTCGTACAACGGCATCAACGTCAAGCTGCGCTACTTCACACGCGTCACCGTCTCGCGCCGCATGGCCGATGTCATCCGAGAGAAGGACATTTGGGTCTACAGCTACCGCATCCCCCCCGAGATGAACTCTTCCATCAAGATGGACGTTGGCATCGAAGACTGCTTGCACATTGAGTTTGAGTACTCAAAGAGCAAGTATCATCTCAAAGACGTGATTGTTGGGAGGATATATTTCCTTCTCGTCAGGCTGAAGATCAAGCACATGGAGCTGTCCATCATCCGACGGGAGACGACGGGTGCTGCGCCCAACCAATACAACGAGAGCGAGACGCTGGTTCGCTTCGAGGTGAGTTTGGCTCCGAGACCTGCGCTTGCCAGAAATGAGACGCGGTGGGTGGGATGTGAGGCCTTACTGACATGCTTGGGCGACTAGATCATGGACGGCTCGCCATCCCGAGGAGAGACCATCCCGATCCGTCTGTTCCTCGGCGGCTTCGACCTGACGCCTACCTTCCGAGACGTCAACAAGAAGTTTTCCACAAGATATTACCTCAGTCTAGTGTTGATCGATGAGGGTAGGCCTGCACCACATGATATGATGGGTCTGCGTTCCTCCCGTACTAACTTGTTCTCAGATGCGCGACGATACTTCAAGCAGTCCGAGATTATCCTGTACCGCCAGGCGCCCGACGCTATCGCGCCCGCGCAGTCACAGATCACAGCTTCGGCTCCGGACAACAGCAGCAAGATCATGCCAGGACCGCCGGCATGACCGACTACGGCCGCTTCGGCCAGAGACGAAGGAGCGGGGCTGGACAGGGGCAAACTTTGTGAAGGGGAGGACAAATGTACATAATGGTTATCATTGATAATTTTCTCAGCATAGGGCACGGCGTTGGCAATCATGACTGTGCTCTAGCACCCCGTCTCACGGACACACGGGGGGCAAAACGATACTTTTACAACCAAACCGCGCGCGTTCCCATTTCATGCAGTTCGTGAGGTATCTATCTCTCCACCAGGAAACGTGTTCACCTGCCCTCTCTCTGCCTACTTGTACAAGGCCCGCGCCCTCTGTGTCCCGCGCCCTTCTGCTGGGTGCTCCGTCCCTTACAAAATATCCATGACCTCATCGCCCGCCTCGAACCCGAACTGGTTGTTTTGAATGGCCGCGATCCTGTCGAGTTCGTCCTGGTATTGCTTGCGCAAGTCTGCCAATGTCACGACCTTGCGCTTCGCCTGGAAGCCGCTCGTGTCCCGGCTGTTCTGCGGCGGCAGCTCCTCCGAGAAGATCCACGCCTGCTTGGCGTCGACGCAGCTGAGGGCGTTGATGAGCAGCAGGTACTGCTTGGTGACCGGCGTATCCAGGACATCCTCTCCGTGGTATTTGTCGCCCTCGCCTGCATGCTTGAGTTTCTGGATGCGGTCCATCAGGACCGACGCCGCGCCGCGGTAGTCATTGTGGCTGATCCGCCAAGAGTAGAGAATCTGATGGTAAGGGACGCCGGCGGTGACCTCCATCGTCGCCTTGCATTTTGAGGCCAGAATCTCGTCGATCTGGTCATGAAGGCCGGGGAAGGGGAGCGACGTGAGTTCTTCGTTGTAGTGGCTCGTGCACATTTTTTCGACAAGCCGCGACAGGCTATTGTGTCGCATCGCCTTGTCCTCCATGGCGAGGAGGCTAGAGTGGGCAGCATCGAAACGGGACGTCGTCGTGGCTGCCACAAACTGTCGGTTCAGCATTTCGCGCTGGACAGTCTCAGAGTCCTCGCTAGAGCGGGCAAATTGCAAGGCTAAGCCGGCGAATTCTAGTACAAACGAGTATGCCTTGATCCTGTCAAACAGAGACACGATGTGGCAGTAGTACTTCGCAGGACCCTTGTGAAGCAAATTCCACTCGGCATCGTCCAGGAGGCCACTGCTGTGTCGGTCTAGGGATTCATCTCGCACGCCTAGCGAGTGGTTAGTGAACAATACAGAGCGACTCTTGGTGCGGGGTATAATCTCACTCATGCCTACGGTCGCTCGCCGGAAGCTCAAGGCAGCCGATTCGTAGTCTTTCAAACCAAGTGCAACACGTCCTTGCACATATATAGCAAACGGCGTCTGGTCACAGAATGGGCTGAGCCCATCCGCAAGATCTGCCCTCTCTCTTCTGATGAGAGAGCACTGAATCAGGCTCGGAGACACTTCGATATCGCTATCTGCAGCGCAGAGACTGGCAATGAGTGCGGTGATGCTGCCTGCCAGGGGCTCGTCGGTGACACTTGGAAAGCCTAGAAGGTGGCCGACGTTTCCTTCGAGGGCCGTGATCACCTTGCTGTCCTCCTCTTTCTTCCGAGAAACAGTAGGGGAACCTCCGGAGAAGGATCCTGAGCGCTCCGATTTAGCTTGCAGGGGCACTGTGACCTCTGTCGTGGCCAGCCAGCGGATGAGTTCTAGCCGCCGAAGAGAACTGAGGTACTGTCGGAAGACCGACCCGACGTCGAGCCTCTTCGAAAGCATGTCTTCTTCCCGTTCCCAGTCAAACTCCATGTGGACGAGGAGCAACAACTGACTCAGGCAGATCCTCCATTGCAATTCGACAGTTTCCTGGACTGCTTTGACAACAAGCCCCCTGCCAAAGTCGGTGAGAGGGTGCTGAACGTTGTGGTGCCTGGTGTCGTGGCCACTTGAGAGCAGCTCAAAGACCTCGGTGTACAGACTTTCTGAGACCAAGGCAAACTGCTGACCAAAGCTATCAATGACTTGCGAGCAGTCATCCTCACTTACGCTTCGCCAGAAGCCTGTCGTGTCCCACACGTGCTGCAGGCGTTCGTAATCCGTTCGGGTTGTCTCTTCGAAGACCTCAGGGCGCAGCGCAGCGGTGCAGACCTGCACCATGCTGTCCGGGAAGGCGTCGAGGAAGCCGAGACCGGTTGAGATGAGCTTCGCAACGTCTTCGGAGCCCTCGTCTGGCCGCGAGAAGTTGTGACACAGTCGCTCCAGGCTGCTGCACTCCCTGATAGCAGAGAGGCTGTCGGCGCAAACAACCCAAGCAAGACCGCTGCGAGGGTCGACGGAAAGCGAGACAGCCTCTCCCCGCTGCTTGTCGAGCTCGAGTAGAAGTCTGTGGAATCTCCGCCACTGAATTTCACTGCTTGCCCGGAACTGCTCGTAGTCCATGCCTCCGGACGACTTCCTGTCAAGGGCTGCTGTCGAGGCTATGACTGAGCAAACCGACTCGGCCAGGCCCCTCTGGGACCGAGAACCTCCTTCTTTCGCCGCGCCGAGTCCCCTCTCGTAAATGGAGAGTGCGGTCTCGAGTGTGTTGCGAGTGAACCTGCCAGGCGACAGAATCAGGTTGAGCCACTTGTCGGTCACGTCTGTCGGGTCACATGGCCCAGACGCCGGCGCAGGTTCGCTCGTGGTGTCGACGAAGACCGAGGTCCAGTTATTTTGCCAGCATTCGTCAACGTGATCCTGATCGAGATCCAGCCCCTGGACCCGATAGGTCATGTTGTTTTTCCACAAGGCCCAGAGCTGGATGCCGCCGTCAGAGTCTCCAAGCATGTTAAAGTCTGCGAGAGTCCAAACATCGGACAGAGATGGCGCGGAAGGCACGAGATGAACATCGGGGAAGCTATCCTCGACGTAGATGGTCTCGGCATCATGTGCTCTTACAGTCCAGAGCTTGAACTCTCCTTGTCCGATCGGAGAGTAGGTCGCACAGGTCCTGACGCCAACACTGTGGCCAACAATTTGCAGAAGGTTAAACTGCGTTGGGTCTACAGTCCATTTGCCCACCTCCTGTGGATTCCGTTCGGCATTGAGAATATCTCCTGTGAACAGGATCTGGCCGGTGTATAGGTTCCAGATTCGCATTCGGTGGTCGAGACAGACTGTGAAGAGGAACGAGGCGCCCTCAATGCCCAGATCGGTGACTTGCAGCGACGTGGCAGCGCTTAAATCCATGTTGATCTTGCCATGCCATATCGGAGACTTTCCTTGAAAGGGGATCAAGCTGCGCAGGCCTTGCGTCCAGCTTTGTGAGTTGTAGATCGTTTCCTTCCACGGGTGTCCGACAGCTGCGGAAAATTAGCGACGTAGTGTAGGTAGGCAAGGCAGCTGAAAGCTGGAGGGGGGAAATAAATCTTACAGTTGTTGGCCTTGTTCCGGTCAAGTCTCACGAGGCCTCCGTCATGAAGCGCAACAACGACCCGGTCGGCGGTCGCCGCAATCATTCGATGGGGGTGCTTGAAGCTGAAGACGGAAGGAACGTAGACTCTGCAGGCCTCGGCAGGCCCAGCCTCGATGGCGGATCGCTTTCTGAAGTAGTCGGGTCGAAGGGTGAAGGAATAGAGGACGTTCGCGTCGTCGAGAACGAACATACACAGCGCATCATGTTCCCTGGGATCGGCAAACGCAATGCAGGAGGGCTGGATTGGTGCTGCGAAGCGGAAGTTGAGGATCAATGGTGCATCGGCATCCTTCTCATTCTTGGCGACATCCGTTGCCCGTATGCTCAGCACCGTCCCATCCTCCAGCACCCTCCACAGAAAGCTGCTTGGGGTCGTGTGGTATTTGCGGTGAAATATGGATGATGCGCTCGCTAGGTTCTTCGATCGAAATACATTTTCGTCGTCGGTGCCCGACTTGTCGGTGTTTGGAAGCTTTCGGCTGGTACCAGAGGGCGGAGGCACTTTGATGTTGACAACGGAGATGTTAGACGAGGGCTCGAGGTTCAGGCGAATCTCCTTGTAAAGGTACTGGGTGTTTTTGGTGTCCATCCTGCCTCCGCCGGTCATCGACCTCTAGTCGAAGATGAGGGACAGTGGTGTTGCGTGGGCAGGAGCGGGCGCATGCAACGAACGGATCCAGCTGCACTGCGCGTTGGTGTTGAAGGTTCAAGGTTGAGCACCGAGCCTGCAGAGAAAGCGCGACGCACTAGTCCCGGTTCGGTAACGAGCTTGACGACAGTTTGATTCGAATCGACTGCGATATTCGCACTGTATCGGTGACGCAGCCCAGGCGCAGGAATCATCGTGAATGCGACGAAAAGATTCATCCGTTCGGGGCCTCACTCTTGCAAGGCGGTGAAGGGATCATTGGTCAGGTTTCATCAATCAATTTATCGATACATCGCCCCGTGAAAAGCATTGTCCCGTCCGGTCTCGTCATGCCATGCCATGCTACGTAATTCGACAAGCCCCAAAACGCCGGCCTTCTCCATCACCCGGGTCGTTGAGACCTCATCGCTGACTCATGAACATTATTGGACCCTCCTCATTTATCCTTCTCCAGATCCTTCGGGCTGGGATCACCAATGCCGTCTTCGTTGATGGCGAACAAGCAATCACTCTCAGGAAGGCATGGGCTGTCGTAGATCTTGGCGATACGAGTTTCGCCTCTTCCCTTTTTCAAACTGATTCTCGTTGTGCTGGCGTGAGCAATGATATTGCCTCCGATAGGTTTCTTGGGATCAGGGTTGAACATGGCACTCGGGCCGCCGTCCACCTGCGCCACAACTTGGTTCGTGATGACGACCGCAATACCAAACTCATCCGCAAGCCTCTGCAAAGTACGCAAAAACTTGGCCAGGTGCGTTTGCCGCGACGACAGCTCTCCGCGGCCGACAAAGTCTGTTCGATACAACGCGGTCGCGCTGTCCACGATGAGGAGCGAGAACCTCGTTTCGCACATCATCGCAGACGCCTGCTGAAGAAGCTGAAGCTGGTGGTCAGAGTTGTAGGCGCGCGCATAGGCGACATTGTCCAGGACCTCCTCGCCGGAGAGACCAAAGCGATTCGCGACGGCCAACAGCCTCACAGGGCGGAAGGTGCCCTCTGTGTCAATGTAAAGGCATTTGCCTTCACCGCCTCCCATGTCGAAGGGCAGCTGGCATGTGACGGCCAGCGTGTGGCAGATTTGACTCTTTCCCGTGCGGAACTCGCCGAAGAGCTCCGTGATGGAGCCGGTTTCTATGCCCCCGGCAAGCAACGTGTCGAGCTGCTTCGAACCCGTACTGATCGAGATGAGCTCACTGCGGCGTTGGTGCATCTCGGTCGCTGTGGTGAAGCCCATGGGGACGAGCTTGGAGGCTGTTTCACCGATTCGTCTCATTAGACACGCACGCCATGCAGGGAAAACGAGAGAGAACGACGCGGCTTACCTTCGGCAAGAATCTTGGCGGCCTTCTGCTCCGAGATGCCCTTGATTTGCTCAAGAGTGCGTTGAGGGGTGTACGCGACGGATTCAATGGTGTTGAAGCCTCCGTCGACAATTAGTTGGATGTCGCGCTTCGTCAATCCTGCGACGCCCTGCGTTTTCCGACTTCATTAGACCTGTCGGCAGCTTCGCGGTATCACACGTCTCTCACCTCCAGAGCTGACAGTGGCGTGGGGGCGCCGGGGCCAGTCATGCCGCCGTCATCCATCTCGCCCTCACCATTGTTGTTCTCGTTGTAGTCGTCGACCTGCGTCATCCTGGGATTGGGGCCTGGGCTCGGTACACCAGCCCTTCCAGAGAGTGCAGTTGGGATGGGAACAGCACTTGAAAAAAGGGTGTGAGGGACAGAAGAAGTGCCGCGCGGGGTGTTGACGTGAGCGAAGATACCCGACGCGTTTGAGAGGTGGGGCCCGGATCAGGCAGACGACGCCAAGTCACGTGTCTCTGTCCACACTTTGCCACGCCAGCCTGCTGATTAATGGAACCTCTCCTCTCAGGGGTTACTTGTTTACGTTCACGGTTTGCGGATGAGCTCATGAGAATCACATTTGAGAGGCGGGCAAAGGACGAGTTGTTTCAGTGAGTGATCGGCTCGTATTACTTGCTAAGCTACTAAGAAAACCAGACGCCTCCATGAACCAAAGAAGATGAAGTGGGAATATTCCACCCCCAAAAATCGACCATGTGTAACCGCAACGCCGGGCAATGCTTCCTATTCCATCCATTCAGTTCTCTCTCTTCCAGCGTTCAAAGTTGCTCATGATGCTGATACTGGAAGGAAGTATGAAATGAAATTCGCGGCTAGAAAGCCGCTTAGTTGATGTTGATGCGGCGAGCCTCGTGCTTCGGCGCCTTGGGCACGCGAATGGTGAGAATGCCATCAGTGAGACTGGCGGTGACGGCATCCTGGAGGATCTGGCCGGGGAAGTTGAAGGTGCGGCTGAACTCGCCGATGCTGCGCTCGGTGACCCAGTACTTGGCGGTGTCGCGGGGGCCGCGGGCCTTGGGGGTCGAGGCCTCCTCGGCGGCGGGCTTGCTGACCTCGGCGACGGTCGAGGCTGGGGTGGGTGCGGCAGTCGAGTCAGCATCGTCGGTCTCGTCCTCGACCGTGGGCCTGTGAAACTTGGGCGAGGAGCGTCCGGAGGCGGGCTGCTCAGGCTTGTCGCTGCCCTCGGTTCCGGCACCGCTCGCGGCGGCATCCTCAAGAAGGCCCTTGGGAGGAGTGCCGGCCGTGTAGGAGCGCTGGACGCGGCCGCGAATGTGAAGAGTGTGAGGGTCCGTGAACTCGATGGAAACATCCTTCTTGTTTAGGCCGGCCAGCTCGCCGTGGAGCTCGTAGGCGTCATCGACCTCGCGGACGTCAAACTTGGGTTGGAAGGCGATGGTGCCGCGCTGCTGACACTGACCCTGGCGCGAGTATGTGTCAAAGTCATCGAGAAGGCGGAAGAGGGGGGTAAAGCTGGTCTCCGAGCCAGAGCCCGCGTTGTAAAAGTTGCGGGGGAAGAAGGCCATTTTGCTGTCTTGTGTGTGTGGTGTTTTGTGATGGTGGTTTGCAGGCGTGATGAGGTTGAGGTTGCGAGACTGAAGAATGGCGAGGCGCTTCGAGTTGATTGCTTGGTTGCTTTTGTAGGCTTTGTGAGGCTGGCGACTGTTGTTCTGTGTGCTGATGAGAAAAAGAGAAATGTGCTGTTGAGGGTTGAAGCAGGTCCTTTTATTCTTCGTCGCCAGGCAACTGCGGACTTTCCTGCAGCATCTGGAAACATCATGAACGCTGATGACAAGAAACCCGAGTGGATGTTTGCGCACGCCGCGGACAATGACTGATCATTCGAGAACATGCTCCAGAAGTCTTGTGGTGTCTGATGAAGCTATCACGAACCCTCTGGAAGCAGATGGACGGTGGTGGAATGATGTGGAATCAGAGAGAAGCGTCCTGGCCAACCTCCTCTCCAAGGGCCCAGCCGGATTGACTGACATTGCTGTGAGTCTACAATCGACCAAGGAAGCATGTTCCATGTGATGACGAGTTCTCAGAGCACGCAAAGTGGTTTGAAAGTCAAATGAGTATTCCATTCGATTCAATGCCAACCTGATGGTGTGGGTTCTTGCCGTTCTCACGTGTATGGTGCACCGTACTTCTTGCGTCTGCCAGCTGGCACCGACGGCCCGGTTGTTGTGTCTGCCGACCCCATCCCCGCGCCTTCAGGGCCCTTTGGTGACGGATTAACCTAGACATATATGCCTGCACGGCACTTGGGTTTTTATCAGATCTACCCGCTACAACCATGTACTGAATGGGTACCTGTGAAGACCCACATAAGCGCTATTCAAGCAGGCGGCGGTCAGTAGTATGTACTGTTCGTTGAGTCCTCTATTTCCGCCGGCGACATCGATTCTCTGCCACTGGACTGTTGATCACATGAGGTACTGAGGTTTCACTTCGGCATCCAAGGGATGGCAATACATACGTTCAGTGGACCACGATGGTGGGCGGAAACATGCCGTCATGGTGGACGTGCTCTACCCCGAATCCTCGGCCGCAGCGAATTGATTCTAGATAGGTGGGTGATACGGCGCCGTGAAATGTTCATCACCCAACAGTCTATCTATTAAGCTCTTTACGCAGGCAGTCATCGTAGTATGTACGGAAGACAAAGTCTGGGCGCCAACGTGATGGCCCAGAAGACTGTCCTCGACGCACGAGACCGGCAGCGATGAGGCAGAGGAACCGGCAGAGGATGAGGCAGAGGATCAGGCAGAGGATGAGGCATGTAGTAAGTGTGAATTATTCCGTCTATAAGCACCTGAACCCCCCCAAATACACGGCTAGTAAATGCGACATGCTAGTAAATGCGACATGATATCATCGAAAAAGAAAGCCACCACCCTGACAAACGAAAACCCAGCCCAGAACGCCCGACAAATGAAATCCCTCGGCTGTAAATCAAAGCCGCTGCTATGCAAGGTATCGCTGTTCATACACGTCCCCGTCGCTTTTGTCTTTTTTGTTCGTTCTCTCTTCTTCGTCTTCTTCTCCATTACATAATCAGTCGGAACAGGGCGACCGCGACAGGCACGCCGATGGCGACGCCGAGGCTCAGGCTGGGCGCCTCGTCGACCTGCACAAAGCCGGCCGTCGTGGCCTCGGGCAGGGCCGGCCACCAGAGGCCGGAGGGGGCGTGGCCCGTCGGCAGGGGCGAGCTCGCGAGCTGGATGGGCGGCGTGCCGATGGCGGGGGTGTGGGTGACGGAGACGACGTGCGTGCGCGTGACGGGGATGGTGAGCGTCACCTCGTTCTGGCCGTCGGGGCCGCAGGCGTCGCAGACCTCGACAAACGTCTTGTAGGTCGGCTTGTCGTCGGCACAGCCGCAGAGCGGGGCGCGGAGCTCCGTCGTGATGAGCTGCGCCGGGTTCGTCGGGCACACGGTCACGTAGGTGATGGTGGTCATGGTCGCGGTCGTGGGGCTTGCCTTTGCGTTGGCGTTCGCATTGGCGTTGGCATTCACATTCGCATTTGCGTTGGCATTCACATTCGCGTTCGCATTGGCGTGGGGGTGGACGCCGCCCTCGCCCATGGCCGGCGCCGGCGCCGGCACCTCGTTCGGTCCGCCGACGGTGCCGTAGAGGCTGACGAGGAAGTTGGAGGGGAGCGCGCGCTTGGCGCCGCGCGTCGGCCGGGTGCCGCCGCAGAACGAGCTGGCGTCGCCGGGGCAGGGAATGCTGCACTCGGCGCGGTTGGCGATGGCGCGCGTCTCGCCGTCGAGCGACGTGGCGCAGAGGCACGCGTCGTCGTGGACGGCGGCGTAGCGACTGCCGGCGCAGAGGGCGACGCAGGTCTTGGGCGTCATGGCGGCCGACGTCTGCTTCAGCTGGAAGGTGGGGAAGCTGCTGGTCGAGGCGAAGCAGCCGAGGAAGGCAAAGGGGCCGATGGCGGCCGGGTCGCGCGCCGGGACGATGGGGTCGGTCGCAGGGCTCTGCGGGCCGGCAGCAGGCGCCCGGGACGGGGCGGACGCAGAAGGCTGGACGCCGGGGGGGAAGACGCCGGCAGGAATGCTGGAGGGCACAGGGAGCTTGGCGACGACGGCAGACGTGACGGCGGTGCCGTTGTGGCCGGTGGGGAAGACGGTGACGAAGATGGTCGACGTCGTCGCCACAGTGGTCGTCGTCGTGGGCTCCACGGAGAGCGAGGGGGCGCCGGCACCGAGGCTGCCGAGCTCAAAGACGTCAATGTAGTTGACCTCCCAGTAGGCGTTGGCATAGGCCTGCGGGTTGCTGGACACGTAGTCGACGCAGGTCGGCGCGAGATCGCCACACTGGCCGTTCTGCCACTCGGCGCCGGCGTAGTCGCCGCAGAAGTTGGTCTGGAGGACGATGCTCATGTTCGCGAAGTGCTTGTCCGTGTCGCAGCTGTCGCCGCCGAAGAGCGCCGAAGGCAGGCCCCAGGTCTCGGGCGTGGGTCGCTTGTTGATGATGTCGGCGGGGATGTTCTGTCGCGACCAGTGCCAGATCTTGATGTCGTCCTCGGTCCACTCCATGGCGTACACGCCACCGCCCACGGCATTGAAGGCGTCGCCGTAGCTGGCCTGGTTCAGGGGGTCGGCGGCGTAGCCGCACCCCGCATTGTTGTTGGTGCCGGGCGAGAGACAGTCGGTGGTCGTGGGCTGGCCCAGCACCTGGCCAGCAGCCGGGGGCAACGTGCAGCCTGCCGAGGTGTGTCCCGACATGAGGTTCCTCGTGGCCAGGTTGGCGCCCTCGATGATGTCAATCTCGCCGCTGTTGGGCCAGTCGGGCCCGTACATCCAGAACGCCGGCCACAGACCGCAGACGGAAGGCGGCATGTGGGCAAAGTCACCGATGAACAGGCCATGGTTGTACGCCTGCTTGCTCTCTAGGCGCACACTGGGGCGGCCCTCATCGACGGCGAATGTGTTGGTGTGGTCGACGCCAAGAATGACGGCTTGTGAGATGGGGTTGACCGAGTAGAGGCCCTGGCCCAGAGCGTCGGGTTCGCTTTGGTATCTTGGAAAAGGGTCAGTAAGGGTTTCGGTCATGGAGCCACAATCAGCTAGACTCACCGGACAAAGCCGTGGGAGGGGTCATTTCCATTGAACCAGTTGAAATCTGAGACGAAGGCGTCTCCAAAATAGGAGTGTGATAGACTGTAGGCCATTGTATGTGTGTTTGTGTGTGGCTTGGTTGGTGAGGTGATGGTTGTTATGATACAGAAGAAGAGTAATGAAGAACGAGATGAAGTGCAGCCATGATATAGCAGACGACGACGAGCCGTTGCTGGTCGTGTTCTATTCTGGACCACAAGTTGGAATGTCGTCGTCGAGCGCGGGAATGGACGTTGGAGGCAAGTCGGGCGGCTGGGCGAGGCCACCGGCATGTCGCCAACCAGGTGCCCAGGTGCCCAGGCGCGCCGAGGCGACCGGCATGGGCGTCCCCCCCCCCGCCCATATGTCGCGTGGTAGACAGGAGCGCGTTGAGTGATTTTGAGGTCGAACAATGCTCACAATAGGCGCGCCGGGGGGGAGGGGGGGGCCGCCGCCGTCGTCAGGTTTGACGCGTGAAGGAGGGGACGAGGCGCATGCCAGGGAGAGGGGTGGCATTCCAGAGGTGAGTCCCGCCACCACGGGTCACCACGGGTCACGACAGACCATTGACGAAAATTCTCAAGAACAGGGGGGTCTTCCAAGGGAGACAGGCAAACCACGCAACGCCATTCGCCGGCCGACCGGCATGCGATGCCAACCATTGCCTCGGATGCACGCCGGTGCACAGCACCGGCACCAGCACCAGCACCAGCACCGACGCATCTAGACGATGATGCGCCTCAGCCCCTCGGTCCCGCCCAGCACGCGGCGCCCGGTGACGGCACAACGGCCGGCGCCGCTCTCCCACCTGGCCTGCTTGTCTTCCATAAAGGCCTCCTGCCTGGGATGCGCGCCCTCGAGCCAGCGATGGATGCATGAGTAGCAGTAGACGAAGCCCGTCTGGCAGGCCGTCGGCGTGACGATGGCGGCGGCGCACACGGGGCACAGGGTCGTGTCCGCCGGCGCCGGGACGGTGTAGATGGGCAGCAGGGAGGGCGTGGCGATGGGGGCCGTCTCGGCGGCGGTGGTGGTGGTGGTCGTGGCCGTGGCGTCTGGCGTGGCGGGTGTCGTGGCCGTGGCGTCCGGCGCGGCGGGCGTCGTGGACGTGGCGTCTGGCGCGGCGGACGTCGTCGGCGGCAGGCCCGAGACGACGGGCGGTGGCAGGTCGAGGGCGTCGCCGGCCTTGCGCGACAGCTGCTTGGCAAAGTCGGAGGCGTGCCACCACTCGAGGAACTTGAGGGCGAAGATGCTGGCGGGCAGCAGGACGGAGAGGCTCGAGAGCAGGCGCGGGGCGAGGGCGCGCGGGGCGAAGAAGGCGCGGACGCCGGGCGGGCGACCGTGGGCGGTCTTCGGGGTGGTGGTGGTCAGGGCATCGATGGCGCGGTAGTCGTCGGCGTTCATGCGGCGCACGCGGGTGCCGATGATCCACAGGAAGGGGTGGTGGTATTTGGACGTGTCGAACAGGTAGGCGAGGTGGAAGGCGAGCACGGCGAACTGGTAGGCGGCGTTGACGGAGGGGTAGAGGGTGCGCAGGAACCAGCGGTAGCAGTGCAGCAGGCGCTGCTTCGGGGTCGGGTTCGCGGGCAGGCGGGTGTAGGCGGCGCCGAGCAGGGCGCGCGGGGCGTTGACCTCGTGGGCGTCGTCGAGCTTGCGCTTGAGATAGGGCAGGGCGACCATGACGGCGAGGTTCTTCCAGACGTCGGCGGTGCGCAGGCGCAGGGCATCGCGGACGATGGCGGGGGCGGCGGCGTTGGCGCGGGGGATCTCGGCGTGGAGGGCCTTCTCCCGCTTGAGGCCGTAGAAGTGCTCGGTGAAGGAGCCGCCTCGGGTGCGCAGGTAGTGGCGCTCGACGAGGAGCATCAGCAGGGCGTGGAGCTCGTCGAACGAGTTGAGCACGCGCAGCAGGTAGCGGGGGTAGCGCTGGGTGGCGACGGTCAGGAGGTAGCGCAGGGTCGGCGGCAGCAGGCCGTTGAGCTGCTGTTCGGAGAGGAGCTCGAAGAGGGACGGCTTCTGCTCGTCGAAGGCCGGGAGGGCCGTCATGAACTCCATGGTCGGCGGGTGGTCAGCAAGAGGTGGTCGGCAGGAGGTGGTTGTTCGGGAGGCGGTCGGCGGGCGTTGGTTGTTCTTCGCTGCCGGCCTAGGGAGGAGGCATCGGGTCTGGGATGCAGCTGGCGTGGGAAAGCGGTCGGGAAAGCGGTCGGGAATGCGGGCAGAGGAGGCTGGAGGTGGTGATGCTGTTGCTGGTGTTGGTTTGCCCTTATTTTGCCCTTCTGGCGATGGGTGGGAGGGAAGGGGCCGCGAGAGTGGGTCGAGGATTTGCCGAGGCAATTCCGTGCACGTGTGGGTGCTGCATGCTGTGTCTGTGTTCACCAAACGCAGCCTCGCCAGTTTGCTGGCGAGGCTGCGTTTGGGTGACATCTGTCGGCATCATTGGGCCTGGCTTTGCATGATTTTATATATATATATATATTGGACTTTCTTTTCTGTACTTCATACATTTGATGGAGGTACCGATGGCATGTGGCCGTCGGATCTGTAGAACCTGCACCGCGCACGGCTGGCACGAGGCCAGGCACGGCTGGCACGAGGCCAGACAGCCTTGTGCCTGCTGCCCGATGGAGCAGCATGGTGTGAGGGCCTACGGGCCTGTGGCCTGTGGACGTGAGGGCGCCATACAGGCCTGCCATTGTAGATGCACGGGGCAGAGGCGGCTGTCTCTCTCTTGGCAGCCTCTGCTGGAAAGCCTCTGCAGGAAAGCATCTACTGGAAAGCATCTGCTGGAAAGCACTCGAAAGTCCCCCTGATCCGAGCATGAACTATGGTTTGACTGACTTGAGAAATGACACCCTTCGCTGGACTTTATCGTCCAGAGTCTCTGTCTACCTCGCATCACAGGGATGCAGCGCGGAAGAGCGTCACGGAGATGTCCCCATGGAAGCGGGAGACATCAGACTGCCCTCTCCATGTCTTGAATATACTGTCCATATGTTGAATACACTCCATATGTTGAATACACTGTCCATATGTCGAATACACTCCATATGTTGAACACAACTCCAATTCCTGCATGGAGAGTGCACGGGCGTGACCTATCCTTACGCCGCCCGAGGCATCGCCATGCATGTCCATCCTACCCTGCCCGTGCTTCCTCATACATGCAGTGTACAGTACGCCCTCGACCCTGGCCGGATCCCCCAGACCCATCCCAAGGCCCATGCCCCAAAACCCACCCCCTAAGGCTCATCCCCCCAGGCCCATGCCCCAGGCCCATGCCCCAGGCTCATCGCCCAAAACCAACCCCCAAGGCCGCACCGGGCCCCACCACGACAGGGCCTGCGGGGTCCTTCCCCACGCCGAGCACCTCGAGCACGGACCTTGGCCCCCCGTGAGCCTCGGCTGCGGCTTCAGGGCCTCACGTCAGCCACGTCGGCCTCGCCTGTCTTCTCATCATCCGTCTGCTCATCATCCACGGAGACAGATCCATGCAGAGAGAGACACACAGAGAGAGAGAGAGAAAGAAAGAAAGAGATGTACACCCCGACCTGACGACGCGCCCCATCCATCCTTCCGTCGATCCACCGCAAAACTACGACTGTAAGGCCTCTCCGTGGAGAACGCGCGCTGGCTGTCTGGCGAGGGCGAGGGCCCCTGGTGCAGCTTGACGCTGCTCACCCTTTCCTTCTCACCCTTTCCTTCTTACTGTCGAATACCCGAGGCTGATAGGAGACAGACGCGCCCAAGGCCTATCGACAGCTTTTTCCATTGCGTCCCTCATACCAATCATCCAATTTTTTGATTATTATTTTTTGATTTCTTTTACAAAAAATCCAACCACACACAATGAGCGACGAAAAGGAGCTCACGCCCGAGGAGCGCCTCGTCGAGTGGATGGGTCTCATCGCAGGCTTCCCCGACACAAAGGGCCACCCCGTACGTCGACCTCTCCAGGCATCATCATGACGACCCCTTCCCCGAACCCCCCCCCCAACCTAACACGCCCAGGACTGGATGACCTCAACCCACCCGCACCTGACCCTCCACTCGACGGCCATGCCCGGCACCGCGCCCGGCGTCCACCACCCGACGGCGACCTTTGCCTTCACCGTGCCCCCCTCGCACGCCAACGGCCTCAACAACCTGCACGGCGGCGCCGCCGCCTCGCTCTTCGACTACACGACCTCGCTGTCCCTCGCCCTCGTCGCCCGCCCCGGCGCCTGGCAGCACCTCGGCGTCTCCCGCACCCTCAACGTCACCTACCTGCGCCCCGTGCCCGTCGGCACCCACGTCCTCGTCGAGTGCGAGGTCGTCGCCGCCGGCAGGGTCCTCAGCGCCCTGCGCGGCACCATTCGGAGGAGGAGCGACGGCGCCATCCTCGTCGTGTGCGAGCACCAAAAGTTCAACACGGACCCGCCGCCCGCCAAGATGTAGCCGGCCCGGCGATATCGGAGCCACAGGTCTTCGGAGCCACAGGTCTTCGGAACCACACGTCTTCATGTCAGACCAACCAGACTCCTTGTAGACCAGAGTCCTTGTAGATATCTTTGAAGCCGTGCTCCTCTATAGAACACAAAATATATCATGATGCATGCCCGTTCGGCCCGTTGGGCGCGTGAGAATCATGGGGCCGCGCAAAGTCGTCAGGGTCACCAACCCCCCCCTCCTCCTGCTGCTGCTGCTGCTGCTGCTGCTCTGCCGCGCCCGGCGTCGTGCCAGACAGGAGATCCATGGGCTGTAAGAGAAAGCCCACCTCCTCCTCGACCTCGGCATCGTCCGCCTCGTCGGCTTCCTCGCCCTCGTCCTCGTCCTCGTCCTCGTCGTCCTCGCCCCACTCGCCGACGACATAGTCCTCATCCCACTCCGAGTCGCTGTCGCCGAGAAACCCGTCGACGAGCCCGATAAAGTCCTCGGCGAGGATCGTCGTCTCTTCCTGCCCGTCGGCGTCGATGCGCGGGTCGGCCATCTTCCAAAACGCCGTCGGCCCCACGGGCCCGTGCTCGTCATAGTTGGCGTCGAACCAGTGGCCCACGACGCCGCCCGCCGCCCGCACGCCGCCCACCTGCACGCTCTCGCTGCGCCACCGCTCGTGGCCGTTGAAGACGCTGAACGACGTCCAGCGGACCTCGCCCTCGCGCGTCAGCCGGACCGTGCCTTTGACTGGTCAGCATTAGGGGGGTGGATCGGGGAGGAGGAATCAGTCATGGGTACACGGGACGGAAAGAACACGCACCTCGGATGTCCGAGTCGGCATTGTCATCCCACGAGTCGTCCACCGCCCTCGACGTGCCCTCAAACCGCACAACCGGCAGTGCCTGCCCGTCGGCCTCGCCCGGCGGCTCGATGCCGACGACGCGAATCTTGACAATGATGAGGCGCGTCGCCTCCTCGACCTCGAGCGGCGCCCGCGGCTCCCCCGGCGCCAGTGCCGTCTCGGGCTCGGCAGGGAAGTTGTAGGCGAAAAAGTCATTGTAGTCGATGAAGCAGACGACGCGCAGCCACGTGCCGCCGACACCGTAGGGGTCCTCGAGCCCGGCGCTGCTGGTGCTGCTGCTACGCGGCATCTTGGTCGCGCTCGGCGACGGCAGGGACAGCGGCGGCGGCGGCGCCTGCGGCGCCATGCGCCCCGGCCCGCCGAGCCAGCTGCCGGGCCAGCTGCCGGCAAAGGGTATGTCCCAGCTGCCCCAGATGCCGCCGCCGGCGCGGGCCTGGCGCATGTTGGCGCCGAGGACGACCATGACGGCCTCGACGCGCTCCCAGTCGACGCGGCCGCTGCCGTCCTCGACAAAGGGGCCCCAGAAGGTGCCGGCCGTGTGCTGGCGCAGATCGTAGACCTTGGCGCAGGCGTAGGGGTGGACGCGCGCGCTGCGCGTGCGGCCGGCGTTGAGGATGGAGCGGCCGTAGAGGCAGTGCAGCTTGGCGCTCGCGGCGGCGAGGGCCCGGTCGGCCGGCGGCGGCTGGTGGCGGGCGCGCTGGAAGAGGGACGAGCCCGTCAGGTAGGCGAGGCGGGCGGGCTCGTCCTTGAAGAGCTGGGCCGCGAGGGTCGCGTTCCGGGATGCGGCGTGCATCGGCGCGATCGAGGCGGCGGGTCCACCGGCTGGCGATGCGTGGTGCAGCAGGTCGACGAGAGCGTCGTGCACAAAGCGCAGGGTGTCATCGCTGGGGACGGTTGGTGGCCGCGTGCAGAGGCGGTGCAGGCGGACAATGTCGTGCAGCATGGATTCCCAGTCGAGGCCTTTCTGTTCTGGGGGCACGTCCTGGCGGGGGCGTCAGCTTGCTTGTGTTGTCTCTGGAGGGGGGCGAGGGGTGGTGTGAGAGGAGCGAGACCAACAAAGTAGTTGAGATAGATGTCTTTACAGAGGTTCTGGTTCTTGACGACATAATCACGAAGAAAGCGGCATGTCTGCGACAGAGGACTGAGGTGTTGGGGTTTGAGCCACTGGAAAATGCCATGAAGCGTCTCCGCCGGCAGCAGCGTGAGGTGTAAGCGTGGTCTTGCTACACATGCATCACCATCATCATGCGGCCCGACGACGCCTTGGGGGGCCCTGGCGCCGCTCGAATCGACCGCCGCCGTCATGGTGAACCGGACAGCAGATTCGACCGTGGGAAAAACCGGGGGACGAACCGTGGGACGAACCGTGGGAAGAGCAACGGCGAAGAGATGCCTTTGCGTTGGTTGACGAACGAGACGAGCAAAGAGGATGGGATGAGGTTGAGGGCCTTGGTCAAACATCCACGGCCGACGGCCTTCGAGGCGTGATCGTGAACCGATTATGTCATCACAATGTTGCTGACAGACAGCGGCAGGCGCTCGCAACAGAATGCGGCAGGCGCTGGCGACAGAACGCGGCAGGCGCTCGCAACAGAAAGCGGCAGGCGCTAGGCACCAGTACAGCACATGGCCCTGGTATACCTAGGTACCTAAGGTATGTACATGTACACATGTGTATGCATGCACACCCCTCGATGCTCCACGCGGCCCCACCGGCGCCGATGCCCCGCCTCAGGCCGGGCAGCCATCTCCTTGGGCCTCCTTCATAGAAAAACATGCCAGTCCGCATCATCACAGTCGTGGTATTCGTACGATAGGGGTATATAAGGGTATTGTGAACAAGAACACGCCTGCTCCAAATGGAAGGAAAAGACATAAAAAAAATAGGACGAAGAAAAAAGACAGACAGCCAACAACCCCCCTATACCGTATGCCACATATGTACCAGTCAACATGTACGTTAAGCAGGAACCCCCCCCCTCGGGCTCTCACACACTCCCTCCCGCATTCAGCTGGATACAATTGTTGAGCAGCGTCGCGCCCTCGTGCAGCAGCTCCCACCTCGTCGTCTCAAACGAGTCCTTGAGCACCATGAGCAGCGCCGTGTTGGCGTTCATGCCCTGCATCAGCTTGAGCTCCTCGGGCGACTCGACGCTGCCAAACTTGACGAGGTACTCGCGCATGTGCCGCAGCCTCTCGCGCTGCGTCGTCGGCACCGCCACCTTGACGCACGGCCCCTCGAGCGCGAACCCGTAGCACCACACGACGAGCGCCGCAAAGTACAGAACCCACGGCCGGTTGAGCAGCACGTCGTCGCGCGCCGTGTACGGCAGTTCCGCGCCGAACCCGCCCGACTGCGGCGACCCCGATCCCGACCCCGACCCCGACCCCGAGCCCGCCTCCTCCGGCACGAGCACCGAGCACAGGAAACGCAGCGCGTACCACGTCGCGTCCCGTGCCTTGGCCGTCGGCGCCCACTGGTCCTTCATCCGTCGGCTCGCGCTGTTGACGTCCTGCGGCCCGATGGCCCGGCCCAGCAGTCGTTTGGCCCGCGCAAAGATCTGGCAGTCGACAATGTCGACGTGCATGGCCATGTGCGCGAGGTGGTGCAGCACGATCCGGCTCTCAAACACAACGTGCGACTCGTTCTTCCGGGCCGAGTCGAACTGGTACGGGTCTGCCGTGCCCCCCGTCCGCTGCAGCGACTTGTCAAAGTCCTTCTTCCACGCGTCAAACGCCCGCGTCAGCGTCCCGCGCCACTTGTCACGCCCGCCCAGCGCCTGCGACACGCCTCCGCCGAGCACGTTGACCTGGAGGTCCCTCTGGTTCATGTGCCAGCTGACACTGAGCAGACCCGCCATCAGGATCGTCCGTCCAAACGCGTTCGTCTGGACCTCCTGGTGGCTCAGCGTCCGCTTGAGACCTTCGAGGAACGACACGGGCTTGATGCCGTTCGACAAGAGGTTCGACTCGATGCGCCCGACCTCCGGGCCGCTCGTGGCGTTCCACAGCGACTCGTCGCACGGCAGCGGAAGTCGCATCTCGTGCGTCACCATGACCGTCGAGTGTCCAAACATGGTGGCGTGCGTCGAGTCAATGACAAACGCCGTGAACGCACAACGACGCGTCGCCTCGTTGGTGATCCAATGATTCCACCAGTCATCCGCCGTGTGAGCCATGCCCGACGTCGACGACTGTCGCGAGCCGTTTGTCTTGTCGTCGCGCGGGTTCGGCGGCGAGTCCAGCGTGGACTTGCCAATGAGCGACCTGCCGCGCCGCATGAGGGTGATGGTCGTGGCGTGATGGATATGCGCCCGCTCGTGCAGCTCTCTCGTCGAGTACATCTTTTCGTACAGCTCGAGCAGGAGCAGCGTTTGGAACACCCACAGCTTGGCCGGTGGCCTAAAGTTGACGTCCATGAAAATCTCCCAACGCAGGTGCCACGCCAGAAAGTTGGACAGCTGAGCCCCTGCTTTGGTGACCTGCTGCCCGTGCGTCTTGTCGAGGCAGGCAGCGCCGATCGTGATCATGGCCAGCAGCAGTGGGTTTGGCGTCCGGTCGGGCGAGAACGTGGGCTTGTGCAGGATGGGGACCTGCTCGTTAAAATGCACCCAGTAGGAGCCAATGTATGCCTGCATCATCCTCTTGCTCAGCATGTGGTTGTTGTCGGTGCGATCGCCCTCGAAGATGCTCTCACGCTGCCGCAACGCCGGTGCTTGGTCGTTCTCGTGAAATCTGGTGAGTATAATGTCGAAGATCTCTTGGCTCTTCTCTTCCGAAATCGTGGCCTCGGGCAGATTCGTGTCGAGGAGACTTGTGACGGCCATAACCTGGTTGGAGCCGTTGGGGAAATAGCCAAGAGAATTACTGTCGGTGCCCACGTACGGCACACTATACTGACTCTGGTAGTCTCCATAGCTGGTCCGCGGTTAGTATATTGGTCCGTCGGACCCTAGGACATTGTGCCATGACTTACTTGCTAGCGTATCCTGGCGCCACCATCTGGCCAGGAATCGGTGACGCATCACCTTGCTGCGTGTTGAAGAGGTAGGCGACAAAATCTTCGGGTATCGTCACAAACGGAGACTTGCTCAGGACGCTGTCGGTGCCAAAGACAGGCATAGTACCTGGCATGGACATTTGATCGAGCAACATCATCTCGCCAGACTGTTGCGACGTGTGATCCACGTACTCACCCGAGGTGGCCGGGGCGTACTGCTGACTGTTCTCTCGCGTGAGGTTGTTGTGGCCGGTTGAGAAATCCGACGGAGGCAGGTTGAAGGGCTGGAAATTTTGCTGGTTGACGTACGTGGCGGACTGCGGGGTGCCCTGATGCTGATTGTGGTAGCCCTGTTGATTCGAGACGGGAGACATGTAGGGCCCGCTCGTTTGAACATTGGGCCGAGGATGTCCGTGGGCGGATGAGATCGAGTTGCGGTGGCTTTGCGGACCAGCGTACGCGCCGTCGTGGTGCATGTAGCCGTCCATGCCGTTTGGTGGACCTCCCATGCCATACGGCGGCGGCGTGTGTGCGGCCTGCATAAAAGGACTACCCGAAGCTTCTTTGGGATAATGCATGTGCGCGGGCCGGACATTGGTGTACGCGGAGCCGGGGCGGTTCACTTCGGGTGACGCGGAGCCTGGTGCGGTAAAAGGAGCACGATCCGTAATGGGGGACACATGGCTCATCATGGAGTCCTTGCGGTTGAGTGCGGACCCCTTGGCGGTATGACGGTCCCTGTGTCGGTTACACAAGTCGAGTCGGACAAAGGTTCGATTGCATTCAGGAAAGTCGCAAGAATAAATCTGCTTTGGCGCATGGTTCAACTGATGACGGTAGCTGATGCCACAGTTAGCTCTCGCCCGCGTCGTTCTGATGCTGATTGTCCTGTGCCACTCACAGATGCTCCGCTCTAGAGTAGCTCTTGCCGCAGCCCTCCTGGGGGCATTCAAACTTCTTGTCCAGACCCTTGCGGCTCCTCCTCCTCTTGCGGGCAGGTCCGCCGTCCGAGTTGGACGACCCCGCTTTGCCGTCTTCGCCGTCCTCTTGTTCCTGCGCATCTTGCTCTTCAGAGCGCTGACGTCGCCTGCCACGCTCCTGCTCCTCTTCCTTGACGGGACGACCAGGGCTGGCTCGCCGTTCGTGACCGGGCGCCATGGTCGTCGAACTGGCGGGAGAAACGGGCATGGGTGCCTTGATATCGGGTAGGTGCGCAGGGAGTATCGTGGTCATGGTCAGCGCCGTGTCGATCAGCATGCACGGGTGCCTGAGCGAGGACGAGCACAGTGACGTGTGCCGGTGGTTGCGCGGCGCAGGTCGTAGGAAAACGTGGCGCCCGGCGTCAAGGAGCAGGCGTTCGTTACACGGCAGAGTGGTGAGACCCGAAGTCGAGAGGCGCACGCGCGGTTGATCCGGGGTTGGCGTCGGTCGAGCTTCCAACTCGCCTACAGCTTCTCCAAAGCTCAATCAGTTGGGAGCGGCCCTCATGCTATTTCCGTCAGAGGCGTGGGCGTGCCGCGTGAGGGCGAAAGTTTCTGTTCGCGGGCCGTTGCGGCTGGGATGGCTGATACAACAAGCCGGGGGAGGGCGCTGCCGGAAAAGGTCGGCTGGACAGTGATGATGGTCAGCAAGCCTGCTTATGCAGCAATTTGATGTTATGGCTCGCTTTCGGCAGCGACTAGGTGGACTGGAGAAAGGTGCATGGTGAAGCGTACAGAAGAGAGGTTGACTGGAGGGGAGAAGAGGAGCGCGAGGGGAAGCGGGCGTCAGTCAGATAGGCGGCTGGCCGGCAAGGGCTTTGGAGTTGCCATGCGGAGAATGGGGCCGTGCTCCAGCACAGCTGGGGGTTGCAGCGGATGTGCACGGAAGCGATGAGATGAAAAGTTTCACCCGTAAGATGTGCATGGAAGAGCAAAGGACGGGCTGTTCGACTGGGGGGTGGTAGGTGGGGGGGGGGGGGAGGCGAGCTCATGGAGACGGGACAAGATGTTTGTTGGGCTGGCCTCGAGTGTGTTAACATCGGCGGGCCGCACTGCTCCTTGCACACTGTGCATGCGCCAATGGTCCGATTCGAATCACGCACCAGGATCAGCTCCAAGGTGAGGTGGCCCCAGCCGTCTTGGAAGTACCATGTACGGCGCCGCAGTGGGTAGGTCAGGTAGCGCTGGTCCCCAGTGAGGTTGGCTCGCCAGAGATTGAAAGTGGGGGGGAAGGGGAGGCTTCTGCCGCGCAATAGCGTGTCCGGAGACACCAGGAGATGTATGTGCTGCTGCGGCAAATCGATACTGGCCGATGCAGTATCATGGCGCTCAGCTCAGCAGCATGCCCCTCTGGTTCTCGTTGCCACCTCAGGTCGCCTCGTACCGGTGATGCGGATCGAGGCAGTCGAGGTATGCAGGTACGGTCCGGGGGGGGGGGGGGGGGGGGGGAAAGGCGGGAAGTGTCATAAGTAGACAGCCTGCCGAGGCTCCGATAACGAATGACGGTGGGTAGGTAGGTAGGTAGAGAGGTAGACAAAGTTGAAAGGGAAAATGGTGTACCACAAAGGGGACAAGGAGAGTGCAGTACCTAAGAAAAGACGGCCCCGATTCCGTGGCAAGGGATGCAAGGGCCAGATGAGAAAATTGCCGATGCAATGGGGTCGGATCTAGGGCTCTCGCGTTTCGTAGTGCTTAGCTGTTTGGCGTGTCCGTAGGTCGGGGTCGAGTCGAGGTCGGGTTTGTCCAGATGTGCAGGTGAATGGATGGGACTCTGGGGAAACTGGCGATGTTTGCTCTGGGGAAACGGGCGCAAGAGCCCTCTTTGAATCGTGGGAGAGTGGGGGTCTTTTATTGAGTCCTCAGTCTGCTCTGTGGGTAGGTAGGTAGGTAGGTAGGTACGAAGGCACCTGCCCTACCGATGCATGGTCGAGAAAGAGTAGCGCTGTTGTATCTGCTCCAGGGGGGGAGGGGGGGAAGGCGAGGCGGCGCCGCGGCGTCGGAGAGGAGGGGGCATCTGGCAGCCGGACATCGAGGGCAAGAGAGACAGAGAGAAGACGGGAAAAGTGTGGGTGGGCCGCACCCACTGAGATACCTCTCTACCAACGGTAAGGTACCTACTTGCCTACCTACCTACCTGTACAATGGGCACATCCTCGACAGTTGGACAGTTACTCCCGCCCGTGCTGGCTTGCTGGCTTGCTGGGTCGTGCCTTGCTCCAGGGGCCCCTAGCTGGCCGGTTTCTTGCCTTGATTGCCCTAGCTGTGCTGGGGCTTTCGGGCTGGGGCTGGGGTACAGGGGACAAGGGAGGCGCCATGACTACTCGCTCGCCTTCGCCTGTCCTGCCCATCTGGCCGCCGCCCAGCCCCGACTCGTTGCCCTTGCGACCTTGGCCCGAACGAGACAGGACAGGGAGCCCAGGTCAGCATGTCCAGGATCGCCGAAGAGGCAGCTCCGTCGACCAGTTGCTGTCGCTCGCGTGCCCTTCCAGCCTTGCGTGGCCTGGACGAACAGGGACGTCGCGCTCCATCGGTTTCCTCGACCAATTCCAAACACCAATTCAACGACAGCGCATAGGTGGTCGTGTGGACCAACAACGACTCCATCCGTCGCAAGACATCCAGGGATCCAACATGCCATGATGGGATGTCCCCGGCTCGTCGCCCACGCCGCCACTAGCCCACCCACCACCATCATCGAATGTCCCTTACCGAGAACGTGCCCCCGCCGCCTGTCTGTGCTGCCCGATGGTGAGCCCCTGCCGGCTGCGTCTTTCGATAGTCGCCGATTGCCCGACGGGACGGTACTGTATCCTACATTTGTCCGTCGCGGGGCGACGAGCACCCCTTTCCGCGCTTCTGATAGTGGAAAGACTAGTAAACAGTATTGACAAGTTCTATAACACGCGATAGCTGCCACAGACAGCATGCTGCCGCGCCCTCTCCTTTGGCTTCACACGCTCGACGCAGCAATTGCGTACAGGCGATTGCTGTGCTAGTGAGGTGGCGGCGTAGTTGATATTGGATAATTCTATGACCAGGCCATACAGTCTACATCCTGGTATCAGCCCTCTTCCTCTGCACAGACCAAAGCTTTCTGCCAAACAGACGAGTCCGAAAAGCACTGACCCGCCCTGACTGTGAGACTGCATGCTCGCCAGACTCCATCCATGTCTTGCTTCTTTTCTCGCGATGCGAGACCGGAACTGTTCTAAGGGGGCCAATTTTTACAGCTCTTCGTCCCCAAGGGACAAAAAAAAAAGAAGGACTTTGTATTCACTTTGCATTGCGTCAGCGTGGGGGTTTCATCTTCGTGTTCTTCTCAGAGGTACTTCACTCGTTGCGTTGCTGCTTTTGGGTACGCGCACTGATCTGGGTACTATGAGTGAGCTCTGAGTGTGTCCCCCCATGTGGTGGTCCCTTGAAAAGGCACACGGACCATCCGCTAACTTAGCTTGGTCGGTCGCACCCCCATGCCCGATGACTGGCGTGGGCTGGCGAGCATGGATCAAGGGTTCTCCTCAACAGCGGGACGCTGTCGTCTTGAAGAAAGAGGGTGTGTGGGGGGGGCCATGCTAGTTCCCCCAATCACCAACCACTAGATCAAGCCTCAGCGACAAGTGATCATCTTTCGGTCGCAAGAAAGAGGGAGGGTCTAGTGTCCATCCCTCCATGTCTAGTCGTCAATCGAGGCGTGCAGGTGTCCCTTATGACCCAGAGCATGGTCTTAGTACGCTCGAGCAACCCGGTACTCCGAAGCAGAGGATTTATGGCCGTGACATGGACGAGGGCACACCCGTTGTAGCCCGTGAGCTTCGCTGGCTAGGACGAGCCAAGGAAACGCTTATCTCGGCAAGCCTTAATACAGGCGACATAGATCCGCCTAATGGGCTACCAAGGCCACCTAGCCGTCTTTAGTCTTACCGCCCTGAACGGCATCCCAGGAGCCGTCATTGACCATCGACCTGTCAAGGCGGTTAGCAACACGTCGCTGATTTGGATGCTGAAGTTTCCGTTGTACAGAAGCTATGGGTTTGGCCGGACCCCCAACGAGGGTTTCGAGAAAATGTCGATCTTCAGGTCCAGGCCAATGCAGTGCGCAGGGTGAAGCCTCGGAAAAGGCTGCCCCCCCGTAACAGCCCTGTTTGGTTGACACGAAGCGCTCGACACGCAGCGCTCACACTGAGGTACTTTTCCGGCATAGCCTGATTAACGCATCTCCGTGTGGGCGGCAGAGGACCGCAAGAAGAGTGCTAGCGATTTGTCGCAATGTAGCTCGTCTAGGGTTTCCAAATATTCGGGAAGGGGGTCGCATACACGCGACGGGTCGTAAATTACACAGTAGTTTTCTCGTCTTTGCTTTTGCGAAGAAAAACCCAAGCGATCTGCCGTCGATTCGAGAAGATTGCGAAGCCTGCTGTGACTCGGTGGTTCACATGAAGACGTGCTCACGTGCAGGTCAACGCTGTAGTCCGAACACAGTATGGCTGTCAATAGGTAAGGTCGCTAGTCTAGCTTGTCGCCATAGGCAGAATGACGAGCCGTCCGCGGAACCAACGGGACACTGGTCGTGTCAATATCTACGGCGAGCCCGACAGAAACTTGTGCAGCCATAGTAGGGAACATCCCAAGTCGATACCTCGTGGGTCGAAGCTGAATATCTGGATCTTATCCTGCGATCAGAGCGAATGAGCTGCTGCGAAGACAGCTCTGGACTGCCAGAAGGTACATGGCCCAGGCCTCGCGATACTGGCAACACCGATACCGACGTTCTATGACGTGGTTGCGGTAATGCAGCTCCTGGAGGATCGACATCAAACCAGCAAGAAGACAAAACGGAATAAAAGGTCCTATTTCCGTCACGGGCAGCACGAACCAGAGTAAGGCTATGAGCAACCGATCACAGTAACCAAGATAGCGTACCACGAATATCGTAGTTGTGTCGAGGCGCTGCCTGACCAACTGGCACGGGTGGGGGACACCTGACCAGTGCACTCCGTTGTGATTTGTCAGGCCGGCCTCGTTTCCTGACCGAAAAGCAACAAGGCCAGCCGCCACCAATCTCTAGCGGCATCACTGGTAAAAGGGGTGCTGATCGCACGGGTTAGGCGATCCGACAGGGCTTGGGACCTGGGACTCGGCGCTGCGAGGGGACACCAGCCTGGTGAGGAACTAGATTCAATCGAGGGATGAGCTCAAACCGTTTGGGCAACTTGTCTGAAGAAGTCCAGTCGAGGCGTCCAAAGAAAGTTTGGGGGTTTGATCCACCAGGCCGTGGGCGTGGGATGCGGCGGATTGAAAGCGTGGGTGGCCAGCCAGATGATTACGTAGAATAACGACGACCCAAGCTGTCGGGCCAGCCGCTCGTTGAACAAAACGAAGACAATCTGAGATGGATTGAAAGTCGACATGGACGCCAGGAAAATGTGAGCTGGCTTCGGCTCATCGCACATCTGCAGTGCTTGATCTGGCTGTCATACTCCTCAACTGTAATTGTACACACGTTTGGCGGGAGGCTTTTGGCGGGCTCTCGGAGGACGCTGCAGCCTGACGCCCCTTGATGCGAAGCGGGACCGAAGCTACTTTCAGGGAGCCGAGCCTATGTTCTGACACGAGTTGAAGTTGTGCTCTCGACAAGGGGGGAACATTAGAGGAAGCTGGGTTGCGTGGGGCGTAGAAGCCACGGCCACGGTTCTACCCATCGTGGTGGCCAAGTGCTTGAGACTGTTCGGGGTATTGTTCGATTGAGGCCGGCGGCTGGTGGGATCGAAAGAGTCGAGATTCGCTCGTTGCTCGTTTACCAAGAAGCGTGCGCTACATTTTCGCAAAATAAGTGACATGTCAGTCGTTGGAGGGACCGGTGGGGGGAAACTGAGTGATGGCTGAGCCAACATTGCAGGTGACCTGCATAGTAACGAACGGACGGAAAGATCCAACGCGCGTTGCTTTGGTGTTGGTAGGGGGTGCGCGGTGCCGGACACTGCATGGTGCTCCATCGAGCTGCAGCTGCTGGTCGTGTTGATTGCCAGGTTGCAATAGAATTATTCGCACTGTCACCTTAACAGAGGGAGCCGGCTGGTCGTTGTTCTGGAGTTCGTGTCGGCCCCATGTAACAACTACTGACCATGAATGAAGCGCGTTGTTTTAAGCAACATGTTGGAGATCCAGCCATAGCAAAGCCTGAAGACAGCGAAGGCGACAACTCAGCAACCCGAAAAGCCTTGCAGCTGCGCTAGAGGAACGATGTTCAGGAGATGGCGTGGTCTCGCGAGGGTTCTATTGATCGGCCTCGACTGACATGAGGAACCGTTCGTGCCGGCGCCACAAGCGGCGCAAAAAGCCATGAGCTCGCTCGTGGAAGGATGCTGGACGATGCAGCCCTAGTTTTCGTGAGTGAAGGGCCGACGAGCAGCTTCGTCGAATTGAATTGACATGTGTGTGATGCGGCCTACTCAAGCACGAATAAAGAGAGCTGTGACTGACGACAGAGGAAGGAATTGAAGAAATTATGGAACCGGCGGATGCTAATCTGGATTGTCACGATGGATGGGAAAGTGTACGGCAATGTACATAGGTACCTACCTACCTTACCTGTATGTACCTGGAGTTCGGGCCACTCCTCAGTGCTGTGGCACCTACAACATTCGTGACCAAGGGCTTGCATGAGCGTGGAAGGAGCCGCCAGGCAGCCAGCCAGGCAGAAGGCCCCCCGCAAACAGGGGACCACCTTCCCGAAGAAGGAGACGAACCGCTTTGCCGTGGACAATTGAACCGAGACTGACGTCGAGTCAGCCCAGTGAGGTGCGAGGTCCCTGGTCTGGTCTGGTCTCCTGGCTAAGCAGATTGCCGTGTCCTGCGCCGGCGCGAAAAGTCAGGGCCTTCAGTCCCTGATCTCGTCCTTGCGCTACCTAGCCTGCCCACCTTCTCCTCCTTTGACTGCCTCCTCGACTCTGCTCCTTGCTCTGCTCCTTGGGTCGAAATCCTGCCCATACGAACTGTTCACGGCTCCTCAAGCATTCGGATTTCTTTCTCGCAAGTCGTACGCCCGTCCCACACTGCGCTTCCCCTACTTTACACTCCCCTCCCACAAGAGCGTGGATCGCCTCTCGCTTCGACCACGACCACAACCATGCCCCCAGCGAAAACTGCCAAGGGCGGCCATGATGACGGCAAAGGAGAATCTGCAGGTGCCAAGGAGAAGAACGGACACGGCAGCCACCTCACGAACGGCAAGATGCGACGAGTAGCGAGTGCTACGGGTGGTTCCCAGCTCCGCGAGGTCACCAACGCCAGCGCCTCCAAAACAGCTGCTGCAAAAGAGGAGGCAACCCCGCCGAGTGTACGCAACGCAAACAACGCTCCGCCTCTCTGTGCTTTCAGGCCTGCTAACACTCGCTCTTTCGTCAGATCTCTTGGAAATCCTTCGACCGCGACATGCTGCATGCCTACCGTCGCGAGCACCGACTCGACACACCTACGTCCTTCTCCAGTTCCTACCGACACATGATCCTGTCACAACCGGGCTGCATCGGCCTCCACTCTCCGACAATGGCCCGCAGAAGGCAAGACAGGCGGCAGAGCAAAGAGCAGCTGGCATTGGCGGTGCGCAAGCATTTCAACGGTGCGGGCATCCAGGAGAACGACGCCATTGTGGACTTCATCCACAGAGTACACAGCCAAAGCTTGACCCGGGCAGACAAGCAGCGAAGGCCACCCCCGGCATTGGATGTCGAAAAGTGAAGGCATAGCACACGTGTTTGAAAGAGCATCTGAATGATACCCCTCAGGTTATTGGCAGAAAGGGAGTGTGGGAGGCATTGCGGACAAAGGGCTTGTCTTGTGCCCTCTTTGCCCCTTCATGATGCCGTCGGCGTTTTGGTTTCGAAGTCCATCTCGGCACGGCACAGTGCACCGTAGACATGGCAGGTCGACATGAATTGCAGCGATCAAGTCTGTCTACGAATCTTCTTTGATATGACGGGCGTTTGGGGATATTTCCAGTTTTTTGGGTTTTTTTTCTATACTATAATCTCGCAATTGAAGACATCTAAATCATCTCTCCCGTCGACTTTCTGGCTCGCATGGCTTGGATTGATTTCTCGGCCACTTCAGCTAGAATTGGCTGGTGACCTCAGGCTCGACCTCCTGACCCTGCATTTAGCGGGCATGGCGCGTCATAGCTACGACCATTCCGCGCCTCGCGTGTGGGCCTTGGGCAGGTACCTACCTCCCCCATGAACCCAAGGTGAGAATCTAGGTACCGGGCAGGCCACAGCCGCCTGAGAACCACTCCAACGCCGTGGGATACCGCTGACACGAACCTGCCCCTCCAGCCCGCCAATTGCCGTTCGTCACTCTGGCCTTAGGTATCCACCCTCGGCTCAAGGCCGGCAAAGAAAAAGTTGCGATGTCGTATGGCCGCACCTTCGCAACTGTGCACAGGCGGGTGCACCCAGTGAGTCGTCAGGAGCGTATGGGACCTCAACTCGGCTCAACTTTCGAACTCGACAGAATTTCCTCGACTCTTCTGTCAACGCGGCCACGACACGCTTCGCACCATCCCACCCACGGCATCCTCTGTCAACCGCTACACACTCTTTTCTAGATTTGCGCATCTGTCGCCGTGCATTTTTTTTCAATGCTATTCTGACTAGCAGGCGTTCGACATGAACACAAGTAGTCTGTTAACCAAGGCCGCAGCGGCCCCGAGCCGTCTGCTTCCCGTCCAAGCTTGTCGACGACCCAAGTTGGGAGAAGCTCTCTGTAAACATGCGCAAATTCACACCGCAGCTTTTGCAGCTTCTTCCAGGCCGTCTGTTCGATTCCTATCACCTGCGAATAGCTCGGCCCCATCCTCGAAACGAGTATGTACCGTCGCCTTCCCTGCCTCAACCTAAAGAAAAAGTGTCGTCCGCTGACTTGCACGCCCCAGGCTTTCCATGCGACGCCAACCAACCTCGCAACAAAAGACCCGTACAAAGCACTAGGTGTTGGCAAATCAGCTTCGGCTTCCGAGATCAAGAAGGCCTACTACGGCCTCGCAAAGAAGTATCATCCCGACACCAACAAGGACGCCTCGGCCAAGGAAACATTTGGCGAGATCCAGTCCGCCTACGAAATTCTCTCCGATCCTGCGAAGAAGCAACAATACGACCAGTTCGGCGCCGCCGGCTTCGATCCCAGCGGTGGAGGTGGACCTGGTGGCTTTGGCGGAGGCGACCCCTTTGGCGGCGGTAATCCCTTCCACGGCTTTGGAGGTCAAGCCGGCGGCGGGTTCGGCGGAGGCTTCAACTTTGACGACATCTTTTCGGCTTTCACCGGCGGTCAGGGCGGACCCTTTGGTGGTGGTCGCGGACGCGGTGGACGCAACCCGTTCCGCGAGGAGGTCCTTGTCGGCGACAACATTGAGGTGCACGCCAGTATCTCCTTCATGGAGGCCGCCAAGGGTGTCGCCAAGACTCTCCACATCACGCCTCTGTCCACCTGCGGCACCTGCTCTGGCAGCGGTCTCAAGGCCGGCACGAAGCGCACTGAGTGCAAGACATGTCACGGCACCGGCACCCGCGTGCACACAATGAACGGCGGCTTCCAGATGGCCTCGACCTGCGGCTCCTGCGGCGGTACGGGCTCTACGGTGCCCCGCGGCGGCGAATGCAAACCCTGCTCTGGCAACGGCGTTGTGCGCGAGCGCAAGACCATCACTGTCGATATTCCCGCTGGTATTGAAGACGGCATGCGCCTCCGCGTCGACGGTAGTGGCGATGCGCCCGTGACCGGCAAGGCCGCGGACCCCAACGTGCGCGCGCAGAAGGGCGACCTATATGTCTTTGTGCGCGTCGCATCAGACCCCAAGTTCCGCCGTGCTGGCTCCGACATTCTCTACACGGCCAACTTGCCCATCACGACGGCCATGCTCGGCGGCGAAGTCACGATACCGACATTGACAGGCCAGGTCAACGTCAAGGTGGCCACGGGCACAAGCACGGGCGATCGCCTGACGCTGTCAGGCATGGGCATGAAGAAGCTCAGCGGTCGTGGCGGATCGGGCGATCTCAAGGTTGAGTTCCGTGTCAGCATGCCCAAGTATCTCAGCGCCAACCAGCGCACGTTGATCGAAATGCTGGCCAACGAGATGGGCGACAAGACGGCCAAGCGTATCATGAATGTCTCGCCGACTGGGTAAGTCGCGATGCTCATCGGCACGCATACGAAGGCAATCACTGACAAGACACAGATCGACCGTTGACCCTGACGCCTCCGACTCGCACAAGAACGAGGGCTTCCTCAAGTCCATGTGGCACACTCTCACGAACCACCCGGCACACAAAAAGTCGGAAACCGATGCCAGCGGCAGCTCGACTGACAAGCCGGCCGACAAGCCGGTCGAGAAGCCGGCCGAGAAGAAGGACGACCCCCCGAAGAAGCCAGACTCGCCCTGAAGCGCTTGCCCAAATTTAGAACAAGACAATGTACCATATTGCCGGTTGACCTTCAGCTCAACGACCGAGCTCTTCCCCCCAAAATGAGAAACCTAATCCAACACATAGAAAGGCGGGACCAACGCACTACGGTGCCATACCATCGACAGGGTTCGTCGTTCCGCGCGGTTCGAGACCCCGGGAACAAGAAACAGGAATACACACAAACTCCCACTATCGACGCCCAACAAAAAAAGCTGCGCCTGGACGAGAGGGCCGCGAGCAATTGTATACCAGGGTTTTGATCTTACCTTCTTGATCTTTGTACCATAGAGATATAGACGGGGACGGCGCCGACAGTCTGGGAGCTGGCGGGGCTGCTCTTGTGGAGGCCACTCACACCTCATTGTAAAACTGTTAAATCTGTGTGACGATGCGCAGAGTGCTACGCAGAGTGATGCGATGATGGCAACACTGAGGTACGACGGGCGATGTTGTAGTAGTAGTACTTCGACCCGTTGTTGCTGTTCTTCGAGGTGAATCGAAGAGAATGCAAGACCATTGCTACGTCCACGATCTTGGATGCACGGTCCACATGCGAGCATGCGAGACTCGACGTCAACCTCAATTATGGCTGCTAGCTTTAACTCCCTCAGTCGCACAAATAGGGCAGAGCACGACCGTTACGTTGCGTTTATCCCCTTCGCCGCCCATTGATACTCCATGTGTATATGTATCGTCTAGATGCCAAACGCCCCCATGACGCCCGACACATGCAGAGTCCTCATAATTTCCACACCCGATCTTTTACCCCCAATCCACGCCCCAACCCTTTCTTCTACCCCTATTTCCACGCGTTCAGCCCCGCCCATGGGTCGTTTCCCTGTCCGGGCTGTGCGCTCGATGGATGCCCGCTCTGTGGGTAGGCGCTGTTCGGGTATGCACTCGACGGGTTGTTTTGCTGTTGCTGCTGCTGCTGCTGCTGCTGCTGCTGCTGCTGTCCGTAAAATGTCTGTTGGGGTCCGAGCGGAGGAGGGCCCGGAGGAGGCGGCGGCGGCACAAAGCCAGGCGGCATCTGGCCCTGGGAAAGGCTGTGCGAGTGGCTATGCTGCTGTGGTTGCTGGCCGCTTGACCAGCCGCCGTACGATTGCTGACTTTGCCCGAAGGACGTCTGAGTTGGCGGTGGTGACGCGGGTCCCCGGAGCACTGTGGGGCCGAAGGTCGATTGGTGCGGGGGCGGAGACGTGGGCCCCGGTGTGCGGCCGTATTGGCTTGGGTTGTAGGCGGGCTGGCCGTATGTGTTCGCAGACTGCGGTGTGAAGGATTGCGTATTGGGGGGTGCCGCGAAGCTGGGATACTGCTGCTGTTGCATGACCGTCTGCGTAGGGGGAGGCGACTGAGGGACCTGGTACTGGCCTTGAAAATTGGCCTGTGGGTATCGTGGTACCGAGTTGGAAGAAGAGTTCGGCTGGGTGAAGTTCAATGGGCTAGGTGTTGGCCTGTTGGAAGGTGGCTTTTGCCCAGAGCTATTGGGGTCCATCGACATGCGCTCCATCAACCCTCTAAGGCGCTCGCGCTCAGTCTCGGCATGCGAGTCTTTGCGAGTCGACTTGTCTTGTTCGATCTGGTTGAGAAGTTGTGCACCCTCGGATCGGCGGTTGTTGACAAACGTCTCAATGTTCTTTTCCAAGCTTTGAACCGTCTCTTTCATCTCGGCGTACCAGCGCTTCGCACCCTGGAGGCCGGCCGACAGGTCGAGGAATTCCTGGTATGCACGCTTGTACCTGTTGATAGCCGATGCTCTCTGCCTTTGGATTACCTCGTACTTGCTCTGTTCAGATCGAACCCGCTTGTCTTGGAGTAGTGTATTGAAAGACGAGTTGAGTTCCTTCATGAAGGCAGATTGTTTTTGGTTTGCCTGAAGCAGTCGGTTCTGCAGAGGGCGGAACTTTTCGAGCTCCGACTGAAAGAGCTGTTGCTCATAGTTGGCAATGTTCTTCTTGTTGAGGATGAGAATTTCAGAAATGTCGTCGTTGTGGACCTGATGTAATGTTAGCTCTGTGGCAGTCGATACACTTTTCGTGACAAACCTGTTCCTTGAGATCCTTCAGGGTTTGGTTTCGTTCCCTCTTGACGAGATTCAGTTTCTTCATGACCTCTTCCACCAGTTTGATCTGTTCAACAACAGAGGGACCTCCTTCGTCAAAATCGGCGTCCAGGAGGTTCGGCTCGTTGCCCATGGGACTGACGGCGCTGCTAGACTTGGCACGCGCCTTGTTGACAGCCCGCTGAAATAGTGCATCCACCTCACCGTTCCGCGATGCTTGACGCATTTCCTCAAAATCAACCTCGTTCTGCCTCAGCTTGATGGACAGCTGATTGTCGCTTCGGGAAGCCTCTTCGAGTGCCTCGCGGTAATTGCGAATATCGCCTCGGAGGGTTGAGGTAAGGCGGGAGCTCGGCTGCTGCGACCACTCGTTCTCGTATTTGGACCTCATCTTTTCACACACACTCTCTTCCATGTCAAGCTGTTTCGTGTTCCTCTCAAGCAGGGACACGATGGTTTCCTTCTCTGAGCGAAGTAGCTCAAATATCGACGTAGGACTTTCGTGGTTGGCAACATCCTCGCACCATTGCCTGAAGTCTTCGTCTGGGAGGACGTCCTGGTCAAATCCGCCCTTGAGAACCTGAAGCGCGCCAGGTAACCTCAGGTAGTCTAAGCTTGCGGCCATTTCGTCGTTTGCGATGTCAACCTTTTCGGACTCGGCTCGAATGAGCTTTGCTTTTTCCTCATCGTACAGACTGGCCATCTCCGTGACGGCGAAAGGCACGATTTTGGAGAACAGGTCCGGGCCCGTGATGCGCTGAATGTCCTGGCCAGCGTAGAGTTCGCTCACGGGAATCGGCTTGGCAGCCGGTAGCTTCCCAACAAGGGGGAGGCTTGCCTCCGCAGGGACAGTGTGGTGGTAGATGTAGTCGTTGTCCTTGATTAGCTCTCTAAGCTTTTCCTGCACCGTGGCGACGTGGCGTTTGGTCGATTCGGCCAAGATGCCGCCAGTGTCCGATGTCAGGTTGGAGCTCGGCGGGCAGTTGCTAGGGAAGCTGCTCGCTGATCTATCGGCATCCTTGGCTTGGGTCTCGGCAAGTTGCAGACGTGCTATCGCAGTTCCGTATTGGCCAGTCTCGGCATCGGTGAGTGCTTGGTAGTACTGGGCCATGGAGCCTAGGAGGTTCGATTTGACCTTCTCGTGTCAGCAGAGTCAACGATGGGTGGGAGTATGATGCATTTATACCTGGACCATGAGGAGCCAGACCCTCTCAAAAATGCCCTTGTTGACGTTCTCCTGGGCGCCCTCTACTGCCTCCTTGTACAGAGAAGCCGCCTGGCTCGCGAGCTTGGCCAGCAGGGCAATCTTCTTCTGATCCGCCACCTGCTTCTCGAGGAACACCTCTTGCGCTTGCGCCAGGTTGATACTGATCAACGTCTTGACAGTTTCCCGGCTCAGGTCGGAGGAGGGGGCGTGTAGAAAGTTCTCGTTGATGTAGGTGAACATGCCAGCAGAGGCTTGAAAGTTGTGATACGCCGTCTTGAGGCCGGATTCGTCTGCTCTCGATTGATGGGCAGCATAGCAGGAGAGAACAGCAGAGATGTTGAAGATGATGGAAGCTTTCTCAAAGGCGAGAGAGTATTGCGACGTCAGCTTGTGGGTGAAGGCGTCATACCTGGTGGCGCCATGTCAGCAAGGGCGTCATGCAAGAAGGGAGAGGGGCAGATGCGAACCATGTGAAGGAAATCTTGATGTGTTGTTCGTCCACGGGGAAGCGCAGGTCTAGGAGCTCCAGCTGTCCGTAGTACCGGTAGAGCATGTCGCGGCCGGAGGTGCTGTCTTTGCCGGCGCCCCGCATGTCTTGCCGGAGGCGGTTGAGGGTAGCGCACTCCTCGGCATAGCGCTCAGGATCATCGCCATAGGTATCTCTGATGTATGATTTGAGAGGCCCGACCCAGTCAATCTCGTTGGTCGTCTTCAGAGGCACCGAGATCATGGGAGACTGCGTCATGGTGGGCAAGTGGATCTCGGTCTCCGAGGGCTTGGTGCGATGAGGTGTTCTTGGCTACTCGGCCACTCCAGCTACCACGCGCAGCTGGTCGAAGGGAAGGGAGATCGCAGAAGTGCTGGGTTCGTGCGTGTGTGTATGCGAAAAGTGTGGTCGTCTTGTATGGTCGGCTGCCCTTTTCGTAGGTGGGGGGGATTTGGGCGTGTGGTTGGGCGTTTATGCGGGCGGTTCGTGGTCAGGCGCAGTGCGTGGCTCAGAGGCTATGTCGGTGCCTGGGGAGCTGCCGATGCAAGCGTGGTGTCGAGGGTGCAGGTCGCGGCAATTCGTGGCAGGAGGGAGGGTGATGAACGTGCGACGACACTGAGGGGAAAGCTGCGATGGTGTTCCTGTGAGGTCACAGAGGTGATCCGAAAGACACGGACGGAACGTGGGACGTGGGACGTGGATCTAGGACGGGAGCGGGGCACGAGCTACGGACTGCCTAGGTACCTGCCGTAAGGTACGGTAGACACCTAGCCAGGTAGGTGGCCAGGTAGGTAGCCAGGTAGGTAGCCAGGTAGGTGAGGTGGGACTTCCACCGCTGTCCAGCCCCCGAACTGAGCACCCGGCGCTTGGTGGGGTTGGTGCGGGGATTACAGGAGAGGCACCTAAGCTAGATACCTACCTAAGGTACCTTAAGGTAGGTAACGGACATGTAGGCGGTAGGTATCCTTCCTTGCGAACCTTGTTCGCCAGTGGCCGGCTCATCTCATGCACACTCCAAGACGAGAAACATGTATATGCGTCTGCATCGTTTCGAGCGAAGTGTGGGCAAGCAAGATCTGGAGGGCAGGGATATGATTGCCGCCGGCGAGCTCAGCGGCTGGTGTGAAGTGGCTCTGCCTCCTCCAGTGGCCGGCGCTTAATTCTTGCCTGTGACGAGAAAGCTATCGAACCAAGCTGACGGCCATTCCGTCTACCTTGCCGACCTTACCTACCTAGGTCCTTGCCTACCTAGGTAGGTATGGAGATCCAGCTAGGATATGGGGGCGGGGGGGCCGTGGCGAGTAATGGCCAGACCTCGAGCATCAATCAGCGCCAGCTTCTTTCTGTAGCCGCCGTAGGCCTGGAGGGGACCGAGGTCGCGAGTTGCACTCACGGTGATATCCGCTCATTCGCCTAGTTGATGAGACACTCAGGTCACATCGTCAACTCTCCTTGTCGGTTCAACATGCCCACATTGTATGGTTCCCCCGGGCTCTCCCAGCACGCCCACCACATTGGCTACTTGACAGAACGCCCTTATGCAAGTGACGAGCCAGTCGGCAACGTCTTTGGCCTGCTTACCTTTGCCATTGGCTCGCACCTTTAGGTCTCTTCACACACAAGCTAGGGGAACATGGGAGCGGGGATCATAGGCCGAACGGCCCGCTTCCTTCTGCACGTTCACGTCTTCACAGCACGCGTGAAGATCCAGAGACGAGCAAGCTAGGCAAGGTACCTGTAGCCGTTTCTCTGGTGGCATAGGGGCCGCCCAGTGTCTCCTCGCTCCCGCTGTGGCGCAACATCTCGTGGGTGCAATGCGATCTTCCGCCAGAGACCCATTCTGCGACCCGGCCCGGCACTTCTGTGTCTGTGTACCATGTTACCCGTGGTGATTTGCGGGTGAACGAGTGATTGATTGACGAATGGAGGGCAGTGATTAGTTTGGCACTCTACATGTGCCGAGGGCGAGATTGCGTTTCTGGCCATCTCTTGGCGGCGTCCTGAGCCATATTCTCGGGAGCCTGTCCCCGTTTACGAAATGACCCGTGTACATGTATGGCTAGCTGACTACGCTTCAGAGGGATGCACCTATACTGGACAAGCATCTCCCGGTTGGGCCCTCTGTCCACACCCCTGGCAAGGCAGGGCCACCTTCGATCACGTCGACTCAGCCGACATCCGCCGTCCATCAAGCAATGACGTTCCTAGGTCCTGCGCGCTCTGCAACATCGTACAAACTCTTCTTCTGCACTTCGCTATGGATGTTTGGCACCACAGTCGGAACTGGGCACAACGCCACTCCTGGCCGATCCTGAGCTTCTCCCTCAGACGCCTCTAAAAGCTTCCTCCCACCTAGACGCCGGGCTCTCTACCACGATCCCTCAAGCAACACAGCACATCAGACATGCCGGTGCCGAGGTCGAGCCACACTTGCTCCCAGTGCAGGTCACGCAAGGTCGGAACAGTCCGCTGCGCCTAGAACGGCTCTTATCTAGTGTTCATGCCCGGTTGACTGGCTTGACAGGTACGGTGCGAAGGGGGACCAGATCCCTGTGCCAACTGTGAGCGGCTAGCATTCTCCTGTTCGTTCAGAACAGCGTCCACGCCGTCGTCATCGTCTGGTGTCAACCCACGAACGCGCCCTGAAAGGCGTCGCGGAGTTCGCGCGTGTTTAGAATGTCGGTCTCAGAAATCGAAATGCTCTGGCGAAACCCCATGTTGTGGAAGCTGCCGTCGTCGAGCCAAGACTTGCGTCTATCCTGAAACGGGGAATTCTCATTCAGCACGCCCCTTCTCTTCCTCTCAGAGTCATTCACTCGGTCTGCCGCTCGAAAATTCGTCAGAGAAGCCCGAGTCTGGCACAGCCATCTCGGTCAGTCCCGGCCAGCTTTCTATAGAACAACGCTCGGAATCACCGTCTGTGTTTCGTGACAGCCAGGCAAGTCATGGCAACTCAAGACCACCCCAAGTCCAAGATGTGGTGGTTCCGCCAATTCGCGAACAACTGCGGCTGGTCAACGACTTCTTCCAGCATGTGTATCCCATGCCTGTGTACGCATTCCTCAACGAATCGTCGATAACGCAGCGCTGCATTGATGGCACGCTGGACGAGACCTTGCTTCTGGCACTGCTATCGTGTTCAGCCCTTCATTTGAGGTACACGAAATACTTTCCGGTCCTCACGAATATCTGGGTCCAACGGCTAGAAATGAGGATCTGGTCGCAGATCGAACAGCCGTCGATCTTTCTGACCCAAGCTCTCATGCTTGTGATTCTGTATCGGATGGAGATCGGTAACTTTCAGAAAGCTTTCATGCTATGTGCTCTGGCAACACGTGCTGCCAGTGCTCTTCGTCTGCACTATGAGCGAACGGACCTCAGTCCACTAGCCCAGGAAATTCGCCGCCGTGTCCTATGGTGTTTGATGATGGTGGATGCGCAGTTTTCAGTAGGCTTGCCGGAGTGTGAGCTCTGCCCTTACGAGGTCATCTATCTCGAGTTTCCCTGTAAGGAGGAAGACTTCGTGCCCGAATCAGAAGCGCGGTCTCAGTCACTCGACGGCATCCCTGAGGGTGGATTCCTTCGGCAGACTGTGCAGCAGGTCGTCGTCAGGAGAGACATCATGAGACTAAGACGCCAGGTGTCTCTATCCAGGCAAGCCATACCCCAACTCACCTCGATTGTGGACGACTTTCAGCGCAATCTGCAAGCAATGAGCCCCGGAACATGTACACTCGAAGATGTCAATACCTACTCGCGGTCTCGGTGGCTTGCGCGATTCATTGGGACACACTTGTCCTGGCACCAGTGTCACTGCGACGTATCTCGAATGTTTCTTTCTGGTTACAAAGAGGCGGCTCCTATGCCGGTCATCGAAAGCCTGCCTGCGGAATACGTGGCCGCTGCAGCGACACAATGCCTCGTTCACTCACAGGCTATCCTGCAGATACTGAATGATCTGTCGAAATTGAGCCCAGGCCTTCTGGTTCCTCATATGGATGTGGCGGTTTGTGGTTACCACGCGTCTCGTTTGGTACTCTTCTTGAGCCGGTCTCCCCTCAACCCAGACCATTCGGGCTTGACTCCAGAGATTGCATTGGCCAAGGCGTCTGCTGTGTCTGTGTTTCTTAATCGTATCTTTGCAAACTCTCAGATTGCGAAGCACCTTCTGGCTGATCTAGAAAGAATCGTCGGTCTCTACCTAACCGGGGAACGGGAACAAAGTCAAGATCCTTCTGATACCGAAGAGGAGACGCCGCACCAGCGCCCTCGCTTTGCCCGCGCTGCAAGACAGCATCAGAGGCTAGGCATTCACAGCATGCTTCGACAAGCTCGGTTCGTCGACGACAGCGACCGCGCTGCAGAGCTTCCCGAGACTGAGCAAGCTGGCGCTCGCCATTTGAAAGATCTCGCGAACGCTGGACTACACACCCACTCCTTGGGCAGTCGCCACCCGAGCGGCGTCACGCAGCCCATGCAAACGCTGCCTTGCACCGATCAGCCCGCGACTCGTGTGTCACTGGTCACAGCAGATCTGACTCTGAATCTAGCGGATGATCTTGCAAGTGGATTTGACTTTGGTGGTGAGAGCTTCGGTTTGGGTACACCTGATGGATGGCATGACATCTGGAGTGGCCACGAGCATTCAAACTCGGCAGACAGAGACTACTTTTGAGTCCTCCTACGAGAGATATCTCACGAAGGGGTTCAATTGATGAATTCGCGCATATCCCCTGTCACGCTTTGGATCACGACATATCATGGCACGTCGTGTGGAGAGGACCGACTCCCTAGCGCGATCGCCGACAGCCGTAGTGTGCATACCCCGAACGTGTGGCTTTGGCAGCCTCCACGCCGAACCCCCCGGCGTGGCCAACAACGGTTGGCTCCTCGTGGCATTCTCGCCATCATCTTCATCACGGCATGCATGATTGAGCGCCTCGAGTCTCGGTTGCAACGGCAACGCGGAATCCTTTCCTGAAGAAATAATGGGGAAAAGATGACTAGGTCAAGAGACTTTAAAGACCCGACGGCCGGCTTTCGACCTACGACCTGGTCGAGAAGCCTCAACTTGTATGCCGCTCGCTTACGCCTAAAACACATCAGTGACATCGAACTCTGCCGCAATGGCCGACGGAATCCGACCAAACATTGTTTTCATCATGGCGGATGACCATGCCGCCAAATCCATCTCATGTTACGGAGCTGGTATTAACAGCACGCCGAATCTAGACCGACTCGCCAACGAGGGCATGCTCTTCAACCATTGCTACGTCACGAACAGCATATGCACTCCTTCACGAGCCGCAGTTCTTTGCGGCACGCACAACCATGTCAACGGGGTCATGACGCTGGACTCAAAGATCAACAAAAGGCTACCGAACGTGGCCAAACAGCTTCGTTCGGGAGGCTATCAGACCGCGATGGTCGGCAAGTGGCACCTGGGAGAAGGTGCCGAACACGAGCCTACGGGGTTTGATTACTGGAGTGTGGTTCCTGGTCAGGGAGAGTACTGGGATCCTCAATTCATCGAGTCGTCGGGGACTTCCGTAGTCCCCGGGTACGCCACGGATATCATCACAGACAAGTGCATTGACTGGATGGAGAAGCGCGACAAGTCTCGGCCATTCTTTCTCATGTGTCATCACAAGGCACCACACCGAAGCTGGGAGTACGACGAGAAGCACAAGGATCTCTACAAGGATCCCATTCGGCTTCCAGACACCTTTTCCGACGACTACAAGAACCGTGCCAGGGCGGCCACTGTCGCAAAGATGAGGGTTGCAGACGATTTGACCTACACAGACCTAGGCATTGTGCAACCTGAAGGTCCGAGGAGCAAGGTCGGGTCAAAAATGATCGACATGTGGTGGTGGAGCGATAGAAAGATTCCCAATCCCGACGATGTCACAGGTCTGAGGCTTATCTGCAAAGAGACGGGCGATGTCTTCACATTCACAACAAAACAGGAGCTGGCTGAGTTCAAGTTCCAGAGATACATGCAACGTTATCTCCGCACCATACAGAGCATAGATGACAATGTCGGACGCATGCTGGACTGGCTCGATGCCGAAGGGCTAACGGAGAATACCATCGTCGTATACACGTCAGACCAGGGATTCTTTTTGGGCGAGCACGGTTGGTTCGACAAGCGATTCATGTATGAGGAAAGCTTCCAGATGCCTTTCATGATTCGTTACCCACCAGCTATCCAGCCAAAGTCCGTCTGCAACGACATTATCTGTAACGTTGATTTCGCGCCAACCTTTCTCGACCTAGCAAAAGTTCGCATCCCTACGTACATGCAGGGTGTGTCCTTTGTCCCAGTCCTCCGAGGCCAGACGCCCGACGACTGGCAGCAGATTGCCTATCACCGGTACTGGATGCACCGAGACATCATTCACGAGGCGTATGCGCACTATGGCGTCCGAGATCAGCGCTACAAACTCATTTACTGGTACAATGAAGACTTTGGCCTCGAAGGCACACGACCCGGCGGGGAGGAAAAGGAATGGGAGCTCTTCGACTGTGAAGAGGATCCCCTAGAACTCTTCAACTGCTATCATGAACCTCGATATGAGGACACAGTCCGGAGGATGACCAGGATGCTAGAGGACAAGATGGCGGAGATTGGTGATGAGCCAGTGCACACTAGACTAAGCCTCAAGCTCAGGAACGGTACCTCACATGCTGTGGTGTAAAGATAATCGCATCCTTGATTTCAGAGCAACGGGCCTGCCTCTCCTCTGTAGATCAGCTATTTGAGAGTCCCTTGCTTTCACACGTTTGTTTTGCCCATCAATAAAATGTCTATGAAATAGGGCGATGTTCGCTGTGATATCCTCAAGGCCTGTTTGCCATCGAAATCCTCGCCAGCAAGAGGATGGTAGTGGCTCGCTCAACAGCACCGCGGACAGTAGTCGCCCCGTCGTTCCAGCTGAGCCGTCCCTTCACCGATTACAGCACTTCTTGGTCTGTCAGCTGCGAGCTTGTTCGCTGACACTAAGCCTCGTTGAATCGAAAATGCCCTCAATTCCCGGGCAGTCAGCCCCCCTGGAAGCCCGACCGGACCGCCGAGCGCCGACTGCCGGAATCCACTGCTACTGACTCGCGACGCCATTCCCATACTGGCCGTTGAGAAGGCATGATGAGGCCAGTCTCTTGGAAAGAGACTTGCTGCAACAACAGCCATCTGCATATTTCGGAGATCTTCCCCCTAGTGGTGGCTTCAAATCAGTGGAAATAGCTTTGCGAACGCCATCCTCTGGATCTCTGTCGTGATCACGTTGAGACCAGCCGCTTGGTTCTTACGAGGCGAGAAGATTTGAGGCGTATAAGTACCTACGTTAGGACGTTACGATCCAGCATGAAGTCGTACACAGAGCCACACCACAAAATATTTAGGGTGTCAAACGTTTCCAAGCCATCTCTGACCAGGCGGTTGTTCGCAGAACAAGCAACGCTCACCTCCCCCTGACCTCCCCCGCAATGTCCACCAAGAAGTCACAGACCGTCGGCTGTCTCCATGAGGAGACCCGTCCCACTTCCCCAGGCAAAGTGCCCCTGACGCAAGACGCCGCCGCCGATGCCGCTCAGCGAATCGAGACGACACTAACTGTCAGGGAGGCCTTGCGGTACTACCGTAAGGCCATTGCCTGGTCGCTCGCTGTATCAACTGCTACCATCATGGAGTCGTACGACCTCATGCTCATCGGCTCGTTCTTCGCCTTTCCGCCCTTCCAACGCAAGTTTGGCGTCCAACTACCCAATGGATCCTGGTCCATTCCAGCCCGGTGGCAGCTGGCTTTGGGCATGGTCACCAATTGCGGCTTGATTCTTGGCGTATTTGCCAACGGCTATTGCGCCGACCGCTGGGGGTTCCGCAAAGTCTTGATGGCCTCGCACGCGGCTCTCATCGCCTTGATCTTTATTAACTTTTTCGCGCCCTCTGTGGAGGTTCTGACGGCTGGCACGTTTCTGATGTACGCTTGACCATCTGGTGCCCCTCTCCTTTGCCTCCTCTCCTGCTGACAGTATGCAACACTAGCTCCATTCCTTGCGGCTTCTTCGCTGCCGCGACGCCCTCGTATGCTGCTGAGATCACGCCGCTCAGGCTGTCTGGATATGCCACCGTCTACGTGAACCTGTGTTGGGTCATGGGTAAGCTCATCGCCTTTGGGGTCCTCGCCGGCCTCCTCTCCAACCCGACCGAATGGGCCTATCGCCTGCCCTTTGCCCTGCAATGGGTTGCCCCGGTGCCGTTGCTCGCGGCGACCTATTTTGCCCCCGAGTCGCCCTGGTGGCTCGTTCGCAAGGGCCGCAGCGACGAGGCTGAGGTCGTTGTGCGCCGCCTCCTCTCGGCGCCTGAGGAGGTCATCAACCCGCGGGACATGGTGGCCATGATGGCACGCACGATACGCACGGAGAAAGAGATGAGCATCCATGGGTCGTGGGCCGACTGCTTCCGCGGCGACAATTTGCGGCGAACGGAGATCTCCATGATCAGCTGGGGCTGTCAGATACTGCCGGGATTCGCGGTGCAGAACTACATTACCTATTTCTTCACGCTGGCCGGGCTGTCGCCAGCCGACTCGTTCTACATGTCGATCGGTAAGTCGCGTTTTGCCCCCTCTTCCTCTTCGAGCAACGATGTCCATCGTGTGCTGTGATCTGGCAAGTGAAACTAACGGCACAGGCAACGCAAGTCTCGCTTTCGTCGGCACGGTCACGTCCTTCTTCCTCATGACGAAACTCGGCTGGCGTACCGTCTACCTCGCCGGTCTCGCCGCCATGCTCCCGCTCATGTCCCTCGTCGGCTTTCTCGCGCTGGCACCCGCTAATCCGGCTGTTCGCTGGGCGCAGTCAGCTCTCCTACTCATCTGGTTCCTCGTCTACGGTCTATCCATCGGCCCCATTCCTTACGGCATCGCCGCCGCCGTCGGTGCCACCAATCTGCGGGTCAAGACCATCTCGCTGGGCAGGAACACATATTACATCTTGAACATAGTCAACACGGTCGTGGCTCCCTACTTGCTGAACCCTCAGGAGGCGAATCTGCAGGGCAAAGCGGCGTTCCCGGCGGCAGGCTTGACGCTGATGCTCGCGGTATGGGCGTGGTTCAGACTGCCTGAGCTGAAAGGACTGACGGGCGAGACGCTGGACAGTCTGTTCGAGAGAAAGGTTCCGGCAAGACAGTTTCTGAAGGCGGCAAAGGAGCTGCAGCACGTGCGGTAGAGTCGTGAACTTGTATACTACGAGGTGGATAACGTCAGGGAGGTGCTTTGATGTGCCCAACGGTAGATAGGCCACTGCGTTGTACAACCACAGCAAGCTGGCAGAGGACGCCGTAGCCAGCATGAATGGCTGTGCAAGCACTCTATGCCGGATGCCATCCCCCCCAGGCCAAAGGCAAGGCAGCCAACGAGACGACCATTCCACACTCCCGTCCCTTGTGCACGTTAATTACTACTACCGGTTCAGTACGAGGCAATGCGTGGCAAGCATTGATGGGGGCGCCTTGCCAAGTTTCACTCTTGTCAGCTTGTCAGCCAGCGAATGAACCTGCGCATGGCTATGCCTATCATTCGCACTCGTGCACATTGACGATTGAGAAACTCGCTCGCATGCTCCCGTCATCCTGATTGAATACTGCGGGGTCGGGGATGCCATGCATGATTGATCATTGTGCGTTCATTCCCTCGAGCCCAGCGGCAACGGCTCCATCTATGTCTACTCACGTCTTCAATTTTATTCTTGTCCTTCCCTTGGATCAACACGCAATTCGACTACGATACGAAGAGCATAACCGCATGCCATCACTGCTCATATAAATCGACATGTCACAATCCGCGGTAGGACTGCAAGTGCTTCGACCAACGTCAGACCGCAGCCCTCTGGTGATCAAGAAGGAGGATGAGGTCAACGTCGAGTAAGAAACATCTTCAGCATGGACTATATCCTAGAACTCTATGGCTGACAAACGTTCGCTTCCCAGTATCGTTTTTGTCCATGGACTGAATGGCGTTTCTCACGCCACGTGGGCCAAGAATGGCTTCTTCTGGCCCAGGGAGCTTTTGCATCAACTACCTGGCGCTAGAATCATGACTTACGGCTTCAACACGGGTTTCAAGCGACAGGGCTTGTTTGCCAAGGACCACATTCGTGCGTTCGATATTGCCAGAGATCTTATAGACCAGCTCTGCCACCTAAGGCGCGGCCAGGATACCCGCCCCCTGATCATGGTTGCCCACAGCCTTGGGGGGCTCATCGTCAAACAGGTTTGTCTTCAAGCAGTAGTGCCCACTACCTGCCCACTCATCTCATATCACTGTGCAAATAGGCACTAGTCGAGGCTCGCAGATCATCGCAAGCTTCCATCAGGACGGTATTTGACGCCGTTATTTCGGTCATTTTCTTTGGTACACCTCATACCGTTGGTGCACTCATGGGCTTGCAATATCGAGATACTGTCAGAGGTATTGCCAAGTTTGGTGGCTATACTGTGCCCCATGAGATCCAACGCAATCTATCTCTTCATTCAAAGGAGCTCTTCAATCTTAACAGAGCCTTTAATCGGCTACTAGTCCTAGACGCGAAGAAGATCCTTGTTGTCAACTTTCACGAAACAAAGGCCCGCTACGGGCGACTGGTACGTAGAACTTGGAACGGGACCTCACCAATACCCTGACTGACAAGCTGAGACAGATTGTTGATGGCTTGACCGCGTCGCTCGTTGAGCGTAGTCGACCGATCGAGGACGATCATGAGGGTATGGTCAAGTTCGAGGACCACGGTTCGCCCGCCTTCAAGATAACTATGCAGGATATTTGGCGCGCGCTGCATAACTGGACAGAGTCTAGAAGTAAGCGTATTGAAGACGCGATGAGACAAACCAAACTTGGTATGCGGCTAACAAGAGTCTACTCTCTAGCAATCATTCCAAGAGCTGTCCCGGGAACACCACCAATGCTACAGCAGGCGCAATTCTTCGACGAGATTCGCTATGATCGTAATAGTCTCATAGGAAGATCCACTACGCTGAGATACATGACCTCCTATTTTTCCCCGTTGGCGGAGGGTCATTCAACGCCACTGTACCTCGCTCTCGTCGGTAAGGCTGGGATTGGCAAGACAGCGCTCGCCTCTACATTCTTCCAACGTGCCCGAGACGCGGAAAATAGTTACTTCCGAGCAGCTTTCTGGATTGATGCATCTTCGGCATGGACCGCTAAGGCCGGTTTGACCAGACTCTATGTCGAACTTTCTACAGATATGTGCATTCAGAGGGGTATGCCACCTTCCCACCCGGCCGCCCTTACAGAAAGGGCTCCAGATAATCTGATTGAATCCTTCAACGAGTGGAGGAAACCATTCCTAATTGTGTACGACAATTTTCGTGGCGTCTACTCTGATGACTTTGCGAGTTTGATGCCAACCCAGGGGCCGTGTGCGATCATTTTCACCTCGCGGGATACCCCTCGTCTTGGACCTGATGCGAGGAACGACGTGCTTTTGTTCGAAAGTGACGCTCGTTCTATAGGAAACGACACCATCGTGATCGATCGCTTGATAACGACTGATGCCTTGGATCTCCTTCTTCAAGTCTCTGGGCATTCTGATGTCGCCTTGTCAGAATCAGAGATGAGCGCCGCGAAACATATTCTGCTGCAGCTCGAACGCATTCCCCGGCTCATTGAGTCAGTGGGAAAGTGTATAGGCCAATTTCAACAACCGGCCCCCTTTTCGGCTTATCTGAACGCATACATGAATCGCGGCAAGGCTATCCAATTCATCGCCGACACCTCAGCTAGCAGGCTGCCAGACACCAGCATATCAGACCGATCTGTCGTTAAGTTTGACCCTCAAAGACTCCTCAAATTCGATTCTTTGGATGATAACAATACGGAGTCCGACACAGAGACCAGCAGCATCGTGCGCGCTGGTGTCTTCTCTGGTCCTGAGTCTTGTTCAGAGTCAGACTCGTCAGTTGCACCTACAAGAGCTCGCCCCCATCAAATCGTGGAGGTTGCCAATGCTCTTCTTCATCACACTGAGTTGAGGTCCCTCTTCATGAACGCCATATCTAGAGTCGAGACAGAAGAGACATGTCAGTCGTGGGAGAAGTGCCGCATTTGCTGGATAAGTATCCTGGAAACCTTTGCGAGTAACCTGAAAACAGAAGCTGGAGAGCATCTGGAGACTGAGGCAGCAACCTTCATCGGACAGAATCCAGGTTCTATATCAGACGAAATACGCCGACAAATTCTTTTTATGCTGTCGTCCTCCCGAAGTATAGAGAAAAGCTCCAGAAGCACACTGGAACCGAGAGGATCTTGTCAAGCCAGGAATTTGGATAATGAGAGAGTGGAGTGTGCGATCGACACGGATGGGCTACAGCTGGGTATTTCGGTTGAAGCACAACAAAATTATGACACAACCGAGTCGATATTCGAGCTAACAAATCAAAGCACCATGGATCTGAAGGGGTTCATTGTGTCCGCTGAGGCCTGCCAAGCGCTGCTCGACGATTTGCGGCTTTGGTTGGAACGGAATGGAAAACAACCTGAGAGACCAACTTTGGGCCAAGCCTTCAATGTCAACAGTGAATCTTCCTTCAACGGCAGGAACGATGACGCCAATGATGAGACAGAAACCACCGAAGACCAAGAGCTATTTGCTGGCTCGCAGGTTTTGTTCATCATTAATCAGCTGCAGCTCGTGACGGCCTCCCGAACCTTGTCTATTTGGAAGCCAAAGTGGTCAGTCATGAATCACATGAAAGGCGTGGTCGAAGATTATCCGGGGGCACGTTGGATTTGGTGGCCCTTCCGGCAGCGACAACGTGAGCTTGCCAACGGGTATACGCGCTTGCGGTGGCTCTGTGTGATATCCCCCGTCTCTACACAAGCTCGTGCGATGCACTTATCGGACTGCTAACATTCGAGGTACTTCACAGGGTTGTGAGAGAGAGCGTTTCGCCGACGTCCCCACCAAGCTAGTTCCGTACATCTTCAAGACAGTACGAGGCGAAGGCAGTTCTACCGCAGACAGACAAAGGCTTCAGTCGGTAGCGTCTGGGTCTTCTCAAATTCCGCTTGTCCCACAAAACAAAACAATGGGCAGCAAGCTTTGGCAGCCTCGAGACCCAAAGAACTCACCAAGTTACAATGACGTGCGAATCTCCCCTCATCGAGAAAAGAGCATAGAGTCTCACATATTCTTGGTTGTGCCGTCAGGTCTTTACGTTGGAGATGGACAGCGTTTAGCCCAGCGAACAATACTAGTAGGGACTTCTGACGATGAGCTCTTCTGTTGGATTCAGGAGCAATACTTTCTGCTTCGGGGGCGGCTCGGCGCATTCATGAGCATTCGCATATACTCGCACTGTGACTTCTACATGGTACGTCAGTTGGGGAATGAAGGCCTGGCCGTTGTGGCTTATGGGCTGACCAAGACCCGTGCAGTTCCACAAATACGACACCGAGATGTACAGTCCTGTCGAGCAACATTCGTTCCCTGGGAACGAACTCCCCTACGACTTTTCGCCCAAGCCTATGCGCCCTGTTCCGCCAATATCAGATGACCAGTTCTACCACCGCTTCTATGCCTGTTATAGCCCAACAAGCCTTCACAGGCTATTTCACAAGTGCCGCAAACGCTGTGGCGACAGGGCAGATGTCGGCAGTTTCCCTCTCCGTCGCCATGGTCTTCAGGTTGAGGACACGAAGAAAGAATACTTTTGGGGCATCTACGTTGTCACACGCATCTCATTCTCCAGGGTTGCGGTCTATAGTTCTCTCTGTTGCCTGCCGGGGCTGGTCTTCTTCTTCCTGTGGATGTTTTCCTGGGGTCATTCTGGGGACTTGCAAAACGCCTTCGTCCCGGTTTGTTTTTCACTCGCGATGCTTGCCATGTTTCTCTCATTTGTTATTGTGGATGCCTTTTCTTCCAGGCGGCAGTGTCCCGTCATGAAGGAGAAGACAGTGTAGTTCGGGTATACGTCAAGAGCTATCTCATCGGTTGAGCAGATATTCAGGGGGGGTGTATGACAGGAGTCAGTACATCTAGTGATCAGCTCGGATTCGAGTTGAAGAATTTCGAGGAAATCGGGTTGTCTCGTCTTCTTAAGCATACATAAGCATCGGGTCGTTGATTTTATCGTCGGACACATAAAAACTGTACTTAAGTGGACAGCGCGATCATCCCACGAGGCGTTACTGTTGTACTGATGCTGTCGCCCCGTCAACTTCCCAGAATCTGACTACATCTGAATGTTTTCTGACAGGAGACCGAACCAGGCAGGACGCGTCAGAGTGACGCCTATTGCGTCCTCATCACGCCGAGTTCGTGTCACAGGCCTATCAACGCATCATCCCAACATGCATCTTGAATTCACATGCAAAACGCAAACCCTCTCAACATGAACATCCAAAACCTCCCTCAGCGGGAATTAATCCACCATTCTGGTCCGTTGAGAATCAAGAAGCGCAACAAACATCCTAAACCAGTCTTATTCTCCGCCCCAACCTAATCCGTTGAGGCCCCCCTCTTTCCCAAAAAATACGATTCCACCCCAGACGATCCACGCTCAACCCGAGGCGAAGAGAGACCAGAAGACAATGTGGGTACCCTGACGCTTGCGATTTTGCATGTGATTCCTACCAAGAACCCACTCAACGCCCACACACCATTGAGATCAGATCCCGCAGTGGAGCCCCGGGAACAGGGGTCCCGTCCGGCAGGTATGCGTGCGAGCCGGTGCGGCTCTGCTGGGGGCTCTGGGGTTGACGTGGTGGCCATCGTCTGGTGTTTGGGCTCGATTGGGGTGTGGATGCCGACGTGAGGCCGGGCGGCCGATGTTGGATCATCCGCCGACTACTGGGCGGCGGCTCGGGATGCACATGTGGAAATGCATGCCTCGGACGTCATGTGCGGCTGGGCTTCAAGGTCTGTACACAATTCTCAATTCTTCAGGGCCACAGACAATTAGTATGGCGAGCCAAGTTCAAGGCAACATTATTCAAGTAAGTGTTCGATCAATTGCTTTACGGTGAGTATACCGTCATTCTCACGATGTCGACGAGTCGAAATGTCATGTACATGTTCTGAAAGTGAATGGCTTGTAATTTGGTGAATCATAATTTACTCGCTCGGCACAGGCAAAGCTGAGCCATCTCATTTTCTAGGATGCCACAAAAAGCATCTTCAAATCTCGTGGTGTAATAATATCAATCAAGCGCCGCCGCCCAATGCCCCAAAATCCAGTAATCAACGCCGGCCAAGTAGTTTCGTGTCGTGGCGCTGGCTCACATGAGATCCATTCTCGTGAGCTGCTCGCCGTTTCGTCTCCGATGAGAGAAATGTTCGTGACAGCGCCGAGCTTACGCCGCATCGGCGCCCTTGGTGGGCTGAGCAACGCGAGTGAGCTGGTCGCCGGCGCGAACAATACGCTGGCCGGATGAGTCGGTGACGTAGGTCATGTCCTTGTTCTCGAACTGGGCACGCTTCCAGATCTCGACCTCGCAGCCGCCACGGAGGACGCCGACGCGCATGGTGGAGAGAAGGTTGTGAGCGGCGTTGGAGTGAAGGTAAACACCGCCGTTGAATATGGCGGTAGCATCCTTGCCGATGGCAGAGTTGATGAGGGCGCGGCCACCGGGGTGGTCCTTGATGAAGTCGGTCACGTCGTGGATGACACCAGCGACAGCGATAAGACCCTTGCCCTCCTTGCTCTGGGCAACAAAGTCATCCCAGTCGACAACAGGGAGCTGCTCGAGAGGAATGCCCCAGTCGAGAGTGGCGCGCTTCTGGTCAAGCTTCTTCTGGAGCTGCTGGACACGTCCCTTCTCGATTTCGTTGGCACGGAACTGCTTGAGGTCGGAGGCGAGGCCAAGCTGCTTCCAGGTCCAGATCATCCACTTAGTGGGGTCGTACTGCCACCACTGAATGGCGTTGCGGTAGTCCGAGGGGAACTCGTGGTGGAAGTTGTGGTAGCCCTCACCAAGGGTGAAGAGAGCAGTGATCACATGGTCGCGAGGGCTGTTGCGGTCATCGAAGGGCTGATCGCCGATCCAGTGGGCGAGGGAGTTGATGCAGAAAGTAGCCTGCTGAACAAAGAAAATGCGGAGAATGCCGGCGTAGACATAGCCACCAAGCCAGTCACCCCAACCGAGACCGCAGACCAGAGTGGGGAAGATGACGCCCATGGTCAGCACACACTTGAGGAAGTGAATGTGCTGCCACATGACGACGGGGTCCTCGTTGAGATCGGTGATATCGGTACGACCGGTACGCTTAGGGTCCTGCTTCATGACCATCCAGCCGAGGTGAGAGTACAGAAGACCCTTGCGGACAGAGTAAGGATCCTTGACAGTGTCGGTGTAGCGGTGGTGAGCTCGGTGCTCGCGGGACCACCAGCGGATGGAGCCCTCGACGGCACCTGCGCCGACAGCGGCGAGGTAGATCTTCAGGGGCAGAGAGGCCTTGTAGGATGAGTGAGCCCAAAGGCGATGGTAGCCTAGCAGGACAGGTCAGCAGACTGTTGAATGAGCATTTGCATCATGTGCGCTCTTACCTGCTGTGATACCGAGACCGGTGTTGAAGTAGTAAACAACAGAGAAGACAGCCGTCTTCCACTGGAGCGGAACCCAGTAAGAGGAGACGAGCCCAATGGCGGGAACGATGAGGATGAAGAAGGTGTTGAGCCAGTTGACGTGGAGCCACCAGTTACCCCAAGTGATGGGCTGGGTGGTAATGTGAGGCTTCTTGGGGTCGGTCCTGGAACTGCGGACGGGGACATAGTCCTTGGTACCGTCATCCCACTTCTCGGCGGGTGCCGAAGGCATCGTTGCAGGTGCCATGGTGAGAGTCACTCCGGATATTTCGAAGACCGTCTCGGGCAATGGTTGGTATGGGTGGTGAAGGTTGGTGATAGAGGGAGGAAAGGAAGCAGGTTCAAGACGGGAGGGGCCCGGAAGGAAGGTTATATGAAAAGGCAGTGGGCCGAGGCGTGTGCGGTGGCGGCAATGGAGGTGTAGGGATTAGAGATGTGATGAGCTCTTAGGTACGTACTTCGATACGGCAAAGCAAGGCAACCGCCTGGGTACCTACCTCGAGAAGAAGGGGTGAGGGCCTAGCGATGGTGGTTGAGAGAACATGGCCACCTCGGTGGAGGGGAGCGGGTCCGATGAGCCGACGGAGAATGTACAGGCAGTGAGTGGTTGATCGTCGTGGGCAGGAGTGCAAAAACGGGGTTCGCCACCCGACGACTGACCTCCTCTGGTCGTTGTTGCCCTTGCTTGCGTCCTTCCCTTCCCTTCCTTTCCCCAGAGCCCCAGTCCAGCCCAGATCCCTCCTGTCCAGGGCGAAAGGAGGCAGGAGCATTGAGCTACGTGCAAAATTGGTATCGGAAACGGCAGGGCAGAACAGGCACGATGGGCCGTGCGCCCCACATGCAGGGACCCGGTAGTGGTCTGGCCAATCACAAGCAATGCCGCCTCAACTCGTTGGGGTGACGTGCGTAAATCCGTTGAGAGAAGGGAACTTACCCCTAGGTCATCCACCAAGATCGTGGTCACACACCACCAGCGAGGAAGGATGTCTATTTTTTTTTTTCTTTGGGGCGGGCATTCAGGCGGATGGAGTCAGAAGGTGTTGCCATGTTGGACGCTCACGAGTTTGTCCTCGGCTCAGGACCGTAGGTTTTTGCTTCTGATGGCCTGTTTGGCTGCTGATTGTGGTCTTGATCAAGCTGTGACATGACGTTGAACTCACTTACACAGACACGGGGGGGATGAGTCCCCGGTATCCCCAACAAGGTTGGTGGTATCTCTCTGACAGCCGGGGCGCCATCAAGACGGCGCAAACAAGAACAAGGATGCCCGTGAAACTCCACCACCACCCTTGAGTGAACCAGAATTGGCTGGTTCTCCATTTACCACAGAAGTAGTCATGGCCTAATGAGGCCTAGCGTGTTTGCCGCTCTTACTCAGGCTCGGCTCAGTCCAGGCTCTGTCACGCCCTGGTTGATGCAAGAGTTGTGCATTTTGTGCACACCTCATCCAGGTAGTGCTCAGAAAATGGTCGAAGAAACGGTCGCTCAGTCTCTAGCCCTGTAGGTCACCGTTGATGATGGCTGAACTCGTCACGTCACCTTGCTCGATGAACAAATTCAGCATCCGACCCCAACAACGTCGTAGACTAGTGCCTTTCAAGTTTGAGAGGTCTTCTTGGTACGTCTTGTGTGCCTACCATGAGTAAAGCCATCATCATGTCAGGTGGTACCCGCGGCTTGAAGCATCTCAACAGCACGGCTGCCCGATCGTGCTTGGCACCTTCAAATTGGCGGCAAAATTGTCCGCTGCAACAACTGATCGCCTCCTGTGAGGGTTCTAGAAACGCTGTCTTGGATGGTATTGAGTGTGGTCTGACTAGAATTTTCTACCATGCTTGGGATATCTACCTGTATCCCGACGCGATGCGAGCCTCATGCGCAGCCCAGCCCTCAGCTTGATATCGCTTCGCAGCTTCCACGCGGTCCTCAGCTGCACAGATCCCCCTGCCCGTGATGATAAAGTCCGACCCCCCCCCTGCACAGCCACTGTGGGGGTCTGGTACTGCTGTCCCAGCGCATCGCCGGCCTGCTTGCTGGTGACACCCGCAGTGAAGACGACAAAGTCCTCCCCCTCCTCCTCACCTCCAACATTCCCGAGGCTTCGCATAGCGACGAAGCTAGTAACAGTTGCCTTCCTTCGGCAGGCAACCTCGATGCATCGCCTAGTGTATTCGTCCGTCGCTAGACTCCCAGCTGTAGTCATCTCGGCCAGCACGAGAAGCGCTTTCTCGCCACAGAAGGGGAACGCTTCGTCAAGGACTTATTCGAGGGCCTCCACGGCTCCTTCGCGCCCCAGGATGCTGATATTAAACGAAGTCAGCCCACTCGGAAATGCGTAGGGCGCCCCCGTGGTACTGCTTATGGGCTGTCGAGCCAATGTCGACAATATTACGGTCCTCGAAGGTGAGAAAGTTGTGCTTCTTGGCGAGAGCCTTGAGCCCTCGGATAGTCTTCTCGCTAAAGTCTCGAACAATATCGATGTGAGTCTTGAAGACGGCGGTGTATGGGCCGAGATCTGTAGGGACGAGCTAGCGTCAGCGAAGCTGTGGGTGTGCACATCGTGGGTTTGTTACCATCTGCGCATTACAGCAGACTCTCCACTTTCGTCATGTCGGCGGAAATAATCTGGCTGGAATACTTGCTCTCCGCAACCTGGAAAAGCTTCCTGATGACAGTCTGCGCAGATCCTCACGCAGAATAAGACAATGTAGACCATGAAGCCATCGTTAGGTAGCTGCTGGGTGTCAAATCTCGGCCATCGGGATGGGATAAGTCGACTCACCAAAACCCGCCCTTTCATACGCCAGGCTTGATATAATATGCTTGGTGGAGTTGCTGCCTACCTATCTTGGAGTGGCGTGCGCAAGGTCCATGACCGCCTTGATACTTTGCTTAGCTGGCCACAGCCACCGCCTCGCGAAGCATCTGGATAACTTCACAAATCACCTAATCGGGCTTACAGCCTCCAGTGTTGAAACTTCTCCACCAGACTGCCTCCGCTTCAGTCTTCAATATGTGGCTCAAGGGCCACATAGCAGATGGTTTCGGCGCACAGGTGCGCAGACGGGCGAAAGGTCGGGCGTGGTATTGTGGTGTTGTATCTCCAATATGTAGCACCGTTGGGTCCCGTCTCTCACATCGGGTCACGGATCAATGGCTTCCCATCTGCTCCGTCCTTGAATGTTAAAATGCAAGCCTGGATTCCCGGAAGTGATTTTGATAGAAAGATGCATTGATTCAGACTGCATAGTGGATGTAACGTTCTCAAAACTTCATTGTCATCCTCATAGGGTCATATTCTGCGTCCACCCGTCATGAATTCTAATACCCGGCTAATATACATCGGCTGATGGATTTCTACGGCAATTCAACCGACGGTCATGAACCTCGCTACTTGGTTGGTACTGATGCGACTTAAGGGCATCAAAATTACGGACATGAGCCACACCTCACTCGAATTCGGGACCTTACAGGTTGCAAAAACTCCTTCAATCTGTACACCCATTCCTTCAAGGCATAACACAATGTCTACCTAATAGAAACGATCCACTTGCCTTTGCTGACTGCCGAACCTTGACGACAAATTATCTGGTCCTTGTGCCACAAATCTACGCATGCTACATAGGAGAGACGTTGACCGTCAAAATGATAGACGCCGTATACGTCGAGGCAGCGTCGAGGGAGTCGCGGAGCTCGCGAATTCCCCAGTCGACATCGCCAGCCTCATCGCTCGACCGGTTCACGGCCAGCTTGTCGACAGCCTCGCCTGTGAGACCCTCGGGGCTGCGTTGGTTGAAAGAGGCCGTGACGTTGACGAGGCCTACCCATTCTTCGGACCGCTTAATCGTCGATCGTCAATCTCACGGCAGAGACGGCGGGCGGGTGCTTACTAATGGAATATAGCCGTTTGGCACCTCCCGTCCCACCATTAGGGATGAGCAGGGAGGAGAAACGGTTAGTCACTGTAAAGGGAAAACAGACATGCTCTCCCAAACTGTGCATACATTTGTGCATATGGCTCCGCTCATCATGACGCCTGGCTCAGGCTCTGCTCAGGTGCAGCTCCAGCTAAAAGCAGCAAGGGTCTAACCCAGATCAGCCTTGGTACATGGCAATACCTCTCCCGGGGGTTCCTCTTGGCTTCCAGACAGGTCTTTTGTCCATCCCCTCCAAAAAAAAAAAAACCCCCCAGCTCCCCGCCTACTCATGTTGCCCAAGCGTCCGCCAAGTCTTGGCGGCGGCATGTCCATCAAGACATCGTCATAGCCACTCGAGATCCCCATGATCATCTACTTCTTCGGGTTTCGAGGCGGGACGGGACCCAAAGCTGTACAACTGCTGCCACATCTGATAGCCAGTCACTCTGGTTAGGTACTAGCGCCCGTTCCATGCTCTTGATTTGGCTTTACAATTTGCCTCTGAACAACCAGTTGCCCCGTCTGCAACATCTGTGCTGGGTTCGTCCTCGAGCTCCATATCAGCATCTGCAAAACGACACGTCGTCCAACGCGTCTGCCGGCTTCCAGGAGCCTATTCTGAAGCACGAGCACAAGCACATGAAGACAATCTAACACACCTACCACCCCCCGGATGCCTCGGCTCCAGCAAGATCCCTCTGTCTCTCCGGTCCTCCGCCTTCCCGTCAAATCCTTCTTTGGCGTCCCAACAGAAACCACCTTTGCCCCGCACATTCCACCCATTCGATGTGTTCCCGGGAGGCAGGGGGGGGGGACGAAAACAAGGCCCCACCTCTCGATCCCTATTGCCGATTCGCCTCATTGGTGGGGGAATGTTCCTAGATATTATCTGTCACGTGATCGCACTTCCGCATTTTCCTCGTTAGACTTTTTCTGCCCTTCTAGAACGTTTCTTCGCCACCCCCGTCTTGGCACGGACTATGTCGTTCCCGGCACCTCTCCCTTCCACATCCGAGCCCAAGCCTCCGGAACGCCCGATGCGCTACTAGGCTAGACTTCGGATGAGCCCGACGTCGACGTCTTCCGTAGGACGAGAAAAGCTACTACCGACCACCTCCGCCACCCGCACGGTCTGGAAAACATCTTATGCACTCCTTTATGAATCCGCTCTTGAAAGTCCGAGATTTGCCATGTCGGTGGTAAGTCATCAAGTGCAATGATATTTGTACACCAAACCTTGATGCTAAACTAGATAGGCTACAAGCTACCAAACTATTCAAAGGGACATATACACCACCTACCTACGCCTTCCAGAATAAAATACGCCCCACCTTGTGCATCCTCATCCCAGCTTGCTGGTGCTGTTGTCTGTATACAAGTACATATCTCATACCGGTCCTTCTGTCGTGATTGCCGAGGTCGTCTCGGCCACCGGCATGTTCGTGCCGGAGCGTTTCTCATCAGTAATCTCCTCGTCTTCTGTCTGCTTTACTTGAGATTTTGAGGACGGCACGGCCTCTGCCGGATGAGGCACAGCTAGAACAGATCTCTTTTTTTCTTGGTCGAGTTCTCCTTCTTCCAAGATTGTTGAGACCTCTTTGGGCTGGATTTCAGCCGCTGCCGCATCCTCAGGCGTCCCAGGAAGGCCTCCGTTGCTGTCGTCATTCTCTCCTCTGGGTACTGTAAGCCCCATCGCCTTAGCCGTCTCATCATCGCCCCCGGCCTCCCTCATGGGCATATCATGCTCCATTGTGGAGCCTGCGTTGAGCGGCGCGTGCCCGTTAGATCCACTGGGTGGAGCAAGGGCTCTCTCCGTCCCGCCAGCGCCATGGTCGCCGGCCGGGGGGCTTTTGTCCTTGTAAACGTTCCGTCCTGTCGAGAGAGCGTCCTCTGCAGTCAAAGGCGCGGTCTGGTTGGTGAGTGGCGGCGTTTCATCAAACCTGATCTGTGCTTCGTTCTCTGCTCCTTCGGGGCCCGTTTCCTCGAGCACGGAGTGGCATTGCGTCATGTCGATTCCTGCGCTGCTGCTTTCAGGGTTCGTGCTTGGTTGCTCTACTTGAGTGGGAAGCTTGAGTGGAGTGCTGTGCATCGCCTGTGGACCCGAACCTGGAGTGTCTGCTAAAGTGGTTATGCTTGTTTCCGCAACACTTGAGGAGTCCTCTGACTTGAGGACCCGGTGACTGTTGGTCCCAGCCTCTGCCTCGCTGTCTGTCTCTGTGGGCTTTTCAGTTACTGCACATATTCCACCTTGAGCAGTTTCCTCGAGTTGATTGGGAACCTCCACCAGCTGGTTCTCGTCGTTGGCGTGTAGCATTCCAACCGTAGACAGCAGGACAGTGTCGTCGTTCAAAACATTCTGATCCTCCTTCACGGGTGTGTTTGGCGTGGGCGTCACTGCAGCATCAAGGTCATCCTTGACATCCGGGATCAAGCTGGTGGAACCCTGTCGCAGTCTCTGTGAGGCCGGGGCCATCGGGTATGGCTCCTCGCTTCTCTCAAACACGTCATCAAGCGTAGCGTGACCTCGAGACTCCATGTGACTTTCTCCTGCAAGAGAATCTTTACTTGTCCTCGGGGTGATGCTTCGGCCTCTCATCATCTCATCTGCCCCCACGTCGCTGTATGAGGGCGCGATGTTCCGAGCGCCAGCCCAGCCCGAGACTTGGGAGCCTTTGTAAAAGGCGTCAAATTGACCGTGGTGACTCGGAAGAGGACTCGGGGGTGAGCGTCCTCTTGTGTAGTAGTACGGATCCTGCGAGTACCCTGCTGCTTGGCCCCGATTCACGTATGACCAGTCGCTGGGCTGCGCAACAGTCTTGACGCGTGGTTGGCCGTTCTCGTCGGCTACGAAATACTCTTTCATGGAGTATCCATCGTCCACCGAGATTGAGGGAAGATTCGTTCCGGTGTCAGGGCGGACAACGGGTTCAGGGAATAGAGTGAGAAGAGACGCAGCCTGCAGTCGGTGTCGAGGATCATCACTCAAGCAGAATCCAACGAGTTGGCGGTACCAGCCGGGGACGTCAACGTCGTGTTCTAGGATGAGGGGGCGCCCATGAGCCTCAGGCTCGTCTTCTTGCGTAGCTAGGGCCCATAGAACCATGCCGAGCTGGTACAGATCCGATTTGACACCGATGTACATCGAGATCCGCTGGCCACTCTCGATAAGTGGCGTTGCTTCTGGAGGTTCCCAACCCACGGGACACCCTCGTCTGTTGATGTCTATGATCTTGGCATCGCCTGCATCGTCAATGACAATGTTCGAGAGGGTAAAGTCACCCTGTACGAAACCTGATTCGTGAATGTCAGAGAGACCCTCAACAATCTGTCTTGCCCATCGCTCTCGCATCAGCCAAGGCGTTCCAAGTTCGGAGTCCTGCCGATTGTCGTACAGAAGGTCGATGAGTGCCCCTTGCCCAGCAAAGCTGATGAGGAGACCTTTGACGTGTTCGTCATGATCGTCCACGACTACGCCAAAGAAAGATATGACGTTCCTCGAGTAGCGAAGTCGATTAAGTGCATTGATCTCATACAGGAACTCGTCGATGGTGTCGGGTCCCGGGATTTCCTTCTTGATAAGGACCTCTTGGCCAACACTGACTTTGTAAACGAAGCCGGACATGTGCGAGTCAAAATTGATGTCTCGCTCCCTAATCCTCTGGCATCCGAGGTGTTGCACCTGTCGAACAGTGGGGAAGTTGATTATCTCCTGCGAAGGGTCAGCATGGTCAATGGTGTGTTGAAAAGGGGAGCAAGGAGGCAGACGTTTGTGTCTTCGACAACATGGACGTGCAGACGACCGTCTGTAGTTTGCAGCTTCAGGTTCGTGACGGTTTCGTAGAATTGTATGTCCTGCAGACTTTCTCGGATAGCCTCATAAATCTTAGCACTCTTCTCGCGTTGAAGTTTGGTATGCGCAAGATCCATCTCCAGTGAGTTTTCTGGGGCATTGCGGTAATCCAGTGAGATTGTGACCCGCCTCCAGGAGATGTCCTTGTCACGGTAAGTAACAAAGAACTTTTCACGCTTGGACTTGTCTCGGAAGTGCATGCTTAGGTTAAGTATCCACGTCCTCTCAAGCTCCTCCTGGATCATGACATCGTATTGCGATGTAGTGACAGAGTGAGTATCTGAGAGGGAAACATTGTCGGGAAAATGGTCAGCATGGACGAATGTTTCAGCCGTCGCTGATTGCACCATCTGGTCGAGGCTGGTGACGGGTCTTTGTTCAAAAGATGAGGTGATCCTGTCAAGCGTCGACTCACCCACCTTCTCAAAGGGAAGCTCAGGAGCGCTGGCTCTTGGAAATGCCCTGGGCTGCGAAGGCGCGCGGATGAACGTGTGGGCTCGACGATCGACAGACACTGCTCGCCTTTCTGCCGGGGTCATCTCTGCTGGAGCAAGATTATTCCTCCGCTCAGACTGTTGTCTCTTGAAGGTCTGGGCCCGCGGCAGCCCGGGAACGACCTTTCTTGAAGGGCGATGTGGAAGGCCAGGCCTGGAGAGTACCTCTGGATCCGGCGGAGGGTCCGAGTCTCGCGGCAGCTCAGCCGGGGGCACTGAACTTCCATTTTGATGCCGACTGAACATCCTCCGAAAGAAGTTTGTCGATGTGTGCGACGGCGAGGAGGGATGCTCCGTTGGTAGGGCGGCGGTTTGCGCCATGGCGAGCATGAAGAAGGTTGCCGACGTTGGTGTTGTGAGCTGGTCTATCGAGACCAACGGCAAAGCGGGGAGAAGACGTCAGAAGTTGAGGGGAGGGGGTAGGGTAGGTTGAGGCTCCTCCACGACAGGCCGAACAAGTCTCCAAGCGGTGTGTAGAAGCTGGGGAATCGTGATGTTTATTATGGGGCCGGCCGTGGCGCAGGTCCGGGAGTAACCAGGCCGGGGGACAAGGATGAGCCTGGGAACAGAAAGACGGTCAAGGGCAGGACTCGACGAAACCCAGGAGCCAATGTCGAGTTGCGGAACGTCAGTCTATCAATGGTAGACGGCGGATCTGCTGTTGAGAGGTGACTAGGCGGAGGGGCGGTGGGCGGCTGTTTCGTCCTTTTCTCGGTCCAACGGGATGATGGCGGTACAATGTAGCGCTGTGCTTTTGGCGCGGTGTGTGCCAGGCAATGGGGCAGGAGGACGTCTGCAAACCGAAGCCAGGCAGTGAAGTTGGAGAGGCTGGAGACGCTCGGAGTACAGGAGACGAGTCTAGGGAGTACAGGCGCTACGAAGACGATGCGAGTAACCGTGAGCAGAGAGTGCAGGCGAGGGCATCAGGCGGCTCGTGCGACAGGAAGAAAAGACTCAAGGCGTGGTGGAGGACAGGCCGATCATGTTCAGACGATGAAACAACAGGATGCGTGCAGCTAAAGACGATGGCTGGGACGACCAGACCTTATGAGGAGCGCTGCAGGTCGAGTCGAGGGTGGAAGGGCATTTGCTGGAACAGTGAGATGCGGTGCGATGTGATGCGATGCGATGCGTGCAATAGGATGGGGCCGGGCTGTGTGCGTGACGCTGTCGTTGGCCCGTGGCTTTCGGGCGACGTCGTGAGCGAGTTCGGGTCAAGGAGGCTGGCCTTGTCGTGCGTGGCCTGGGCAGCCCTGGATGGGCTCACTTGGGTGTCCGTGTGTCGCAGTCGCAGGCACAGCGGCCTGGTCGGTAAGGGTCTCTCGTCAGGCAGACAGTGGTCTGTCTAGGTGCCGGGGCGCATCAGGGGGCGTGTGAGGATGGGGGTTCGAGAGGGGTGTGTGCTTGTATGGATGCTTTAGCCCTGAAGTTCTGGGCGCAGGATACGACGCGGTTGGGCCTCGACGAGAGACGAGGCGGTCATGCTCCTTTGTACCATTCCATTCGTTGTGGTTGAAGGACGACGAGCGGCAGGTGGAGGGCGGAAGCAAGACAAGAAGAGGTGCCCCCTTGGGAGCTGTCGGAGCCTGGGTGGGTTCGTGCCTGATGACCGATTTGATGGATTGAGCGGCTTGCTGCTTGCCTCCGGTTTGACGGTTTGACGGCCCTGTCGATGGTCGATGGTTGATGGCTGAGTCTTGCGGCATGCAGATACACTGCGGGTGGGCGCGCGAGGGCTGGCTGGTCGGCCCCAGAAGCGTGTGAGAGAATATACCGGGTGGATATCAATAGATCAATAGAGGAGCAGACAGGGGGGGCTGGCGACGTGATGGACCAAGATGAGCGCTGGTGAAGGGAAAGCTAGGGACACATCCCCCAGTGCTAACGACGAACATGAAGTCACAGTTCGGTGTCACAGGTTCTGGTCGTTGCACCAAAAACCAGGCCAGCTCCACCGCATGGGTACCTAGGATGCCTGCACCCTCTACACTGCTCTTACTGCACTGAAGCATTCTCTCCCAGGCAGGTGGGTGGGCCCTGCCTCGAATGCGTTGTCCATCGCCCCTGCTCCCTGCTCGAGTTCCTGGCACAGTAGAAAGCAGCAGTAGCTTCTCCTCTTCCCGTGCACTTTCGGTCGGTTTGCTGCACCGTACCTAGGGTAGGTACCTCAGGAAGGAAGGTAAGGTAGGTAACCCACCAGATAGTGAGGAAGGTACCGCTCAACTCCCTAGGTCCTGCCCCTACTTACATGTACCTGCCTACGGCACCCATCCAATCTCACTCACTGGTCGAAGCAGCTAGCTGTTCCTGCCTGCCTACCTGCCCTGGCTAGAACTTGCTCTCCGTTGACCATCGTCGTGCTGGCCAGGTTCCTCCCGCCCTACCTTGGTACCTACTTTAGCACCTTCATCCGTTCCACTCTCACCACCCACCCTCCCATTAACTATGATGGCATTGGGCGGTCATTGGGCTTCAACGTATCGATGAACGTCTGCTCGTCCGCCTTCTTTTCTGTCTCGTGTGCATCTGCCTCGCAGCTCAAAGTTTCCTGTCAACGGAAACCAATGGCATATCCATGTCAGCCATGCAAACGCCTCGAACTCCGTCACTTCGGTCACAATGTGAGCCCTTCTCCATTCATTCCCCGCGCCTCCCCCCTACGCCTGGAGTCCTGAGCGTCATTTCCACCGTCACGCCAAACGAAGGAATACCGATGCCGCGGACCATGTCTTTCGTTGGACAATCATCCTCGCCATGGCCTCTTGTCTCCGTCCGATGCCTCGTGGCCAGCCTGCCCAGCCACACTGAACTAACTCCCCCACGCGCGAAAGCATTTTAGCTTTGAACCACGTTCTTCGACACGGAAAAAGAGACGACAACTCCAGAACTATCATCTCTCATCTCGAGGCACCCCACAGCGCCAACACAACGATGGCCTGCATGATGGCCAATCCAGCAGTCCCCGCCCCCCTCCTACCGCCCGCGCTAGCCTCGAGTGCCCGCTGTGCGTGTGCGTGTGCGTGTGCGTGTGCGTGTTACAGGACAGACGCCAGCAACCTTGGTCATTGGCAATACAAGCGTGTGGGTGAACTGCTCTTCCATGTCCTGAGATCACAAGAGGACCATGGCCTCTTTCTTGGCTCCCTGACAGAATGACACAGCAAGGATCAGCACCATAACAGCACAGGAACAAGCCTCCCAATTCGGGGCACCAAGTTGATTCCGATGTTGACGATCAGAAGAACCCCCCACGACTACCATCTTCACATTACCCTTTCAAATCCCCCGATCCCAACTCATGCCGCCCTTTCGATCCATGCTTCAGGGGGCTAGTCATCAGTCAGCACCCCCGACTGACCCAGACCCACAACCACGCAGATGTCTCCTTTCCCTCCTCGAACCAGTGTTGTCCACCTTTCGGCTCAATTTGTGCGCTTGGGCACCGACGCAGCCCAAACGGTGAGGCGGTTTTGCCGCTTCCCAAAATGACAGGCCCTCCTCCTTGGGCAAATGCTGGTCGTCCTGCATGGCCGACTGCGTTGCCTGAAGCCAGACAGTACGTTTAGTGTCGAAAGCTTCCAATTGGGACCTTCCTTTCCTTCCGCGCTGTGGAGGGAACGAGTGGGTCGCGACTGTCTCACAGCCGACACTGCCTGTCAAGAAACTGTGCAATTCATACACGCTCTGACACAGGCTCGGCATGGTACTGAAGCTTGCGATGCACGCCCCGGGCACCAGCGTCCAGAATGAAGTCATAAGCGTTGCTTTGCCTGGCTGACGTCGACCGCCATCACTGTCGATCATGGCGTGAAAACCAGCGTCACGGACTGTGGGTTGTGAACATCAAAAGTGGTAAAACGCTTGAGCCCTCACAGTTAGACAGGCATCCCCATGCCTACACAACGCTTCGTCCCGCGGGCTAACCCCGTGATCGCCGATAATAGCTTCGGGAGCTTGTGCTTGTCGCCACGGTCCGCGGGCAAGTCCGTCGTCGCATGGGGCCTTCGCCCCTTCAAGTCCGACCGGGATAGGGATTTGTTTGCAGTGTCGCCAGCATTCGTTCGCCAGCGGTCAGCTCAAGACTACCGTCCCACCAGCTCGCGCGACCCGGTTGAAGACCCCTGATTTCGATCTCGCACACAACCCCAGACTCCCTGCATATGCGAACCCAATCCCGGCTTGGGAGCCATTGATCACACACCGTAATGACTGTGTGTGTACGCAATGCGGTCATTACCCTCCCTTGGGCACAATCAGGCTGACATGTGCATCATGCGATATTCGCCTCAAAACCGTCCACTGGATGAGGTGACGAATCGGTGGATGCTCTGTTTTGATTATGCTGCGATTGGATATTTAGTTCACGATGCGATCGACAAACCGGCTTGGTGACCATCGCTAGTTCGATCCGACGAGTGCGTTCGCCAGCAGGCAATTGACATGGTGTAACAAGTGATTCGCCGGGCCTGGGCAAGGGCCGCATGCTGAGTAGTATACAATGGTTCTACGGATTTCCCATCTCTCCGTCTCTCGCGACGTGGACCAAGACGGGAGAGAAACCCGCCCACGTGCTCCTGCTCCTGCTCCTCCTCCTCCAGATGCTCAAGATCTACAAGTACATTTCGCTGTGTTCCAGCGGCGCAGGATGGGGAGAAAAAGAAACGCAAAGATGCGGAGTAGAGCCGTTTCGTCTAGTCGTGTCAATGTGTGCCGAAGGTGTTTGTGTTGTGTATGTATGATGCATCGTGTGCACGGCCAAGCGTCGTTGAGCCTGGCATCCCCGCGTCTAGCACTTGCTCATGGCCGGCACGTAAAAGAATCCGAACATGCCTGATCTTCAGGCTTCCGTGTCGGCG